GGGAACATTTTAAATTATTTATGATTTTTAGGGACAGAAATCTCTAAGCGGTAAAATCGACGTGTATCGGAGTCTTCTTAATGTACATCCTCTTATAATTTAAGTGTTTAAATGTCGAGTCTAACAGGAAATAACGATTAATTTTTTTCTTCTCTATATAATGTATAATATTAATAAATAATCACATGAATACTTTTAATATGTATATTTTTTTAAATAAGTGATATTAGTTTTACTTTTTTTATAAGATAATGTAAATTAATATCAAAAATTCCCCTTGAAAAATAAAATAACAAATTTGACGATTAAAAAGACAGATTATTTGTGATTTTAAATTGCCAATTTTAAAAATTAATTATTCTAAAAAAAAGTTATTTTATGTATTTTTAAGAATATTAATTATTTTTATTTTTTTTGGCTATATTACCAAACGTATAAATTATATCCCTGTAATAGTTATCTTTAACTATATAGTGGTTTTGTTATATAAAAAATTTTTTCCGGTCATGCATGGGTTACTTTATTTGAATATTTACTGATATGAGGGAAATTTTATTTTAAGTGTATATACTATATCATATAACTTTACGGTTCATATCCAGCTCTAGGGTTCGGATGAAAAACCATCTTATTTTAAATTTGGATGAAGCAGAAATAAATATTTTTTTTTAAATTCAAAAAATAAACACAGAGCTATATTCATAATAATAACATTTTATGTGAGAATTATTTCCATATTCTTTCTTTTCTCTCATTTTTTTGAAGTATATTTTTGAATCTAAGATGATTGAAGCCTTATTAAGCATTAAAACAGAAGAATTAAAATTAAATAAATGTGAACCCTTTATTTTATTTTATATGTTTTGATTAGCTTTGGTAAACGGCTCAATTTGAGCCGATTATTAAAAACTGCGGTCAATATTTTAGCCAGAAAAATATTACCTAGGCCTCGAGATTTAGCTGATAAACCATTGTACCTTCTATAACCAAAATTTTACGGCTAGTGTAGTATTTTTATCGATAAAATATTGAGTTAGTTGTTTTAAAAAATCGGCTCAAATCGAACCGTTGACAACACTAGTTTAATAGTAATTTAAAAATAAAACTTATGTTGTTCTAGGACCAAAAATTATAATTATTTTAAAGATAAAAGCAATAATTACAATGAGTCTAAAATTTATTAACGTTAAATATCTAAACATTATACGCTTAATTTGTCAAAATTTTCCATAATTACTCACTTTCATAAATTAGTATAATTTCGAAAAAATAATACTTTAATTGTAAATTATTTATTTGAATAAAATATATATTGCATTTCAAACTGTATTCTCGTCGCACATATGTCTTAAAAAGGCTATATATAAAATATTATATATTAATGGAATTTTTTTAAAATAAGAACGTTTATAAGATATGAATACGATTTTAAGGAATATATTATTTAAAACAAGAAATTTAGAGTGAATAACATGGTAGCAAGCCTTTGTCATAAAAGAGTGTTTCTTTAGATTGACCTCCACTCTATTTTTTTGAAATAATTTTGAGTTTCATGCTTTCCCCAAAAGTGAGTTGAAATTTATTTATGATAATAATGTTTCTGTGGTGGTAATTTTAGTAATATCCATCGACTATCAAAAGGACAGAGTTTAATTAATTTATCAATTAATTTATCAAATCAAAAAAAACTAACATCACTAATATACCAATGCATTTTCCCTCTTAAAGTATAATTTACAAGTTTAAAATAATTATTTACAAAACATGATACAACCTTAGGATTGAATTAATACTATAAAGTTTTCAATTCTATTTTAGAAGGTAAAATATTACACTAAATAGAATGATAAAAAACATGATGTTTCTCGTTTTGGTCCGATTTAAGTTGCAGAGTCACCCTATCACAATTAGAAAATGTATTTAATAGGATTTTGTATCGTAACTGGATACGGAATCAGGAATCACAACGTGTGAATTCAGCATCACGAGTCTCCTCGTTTTTTTTTGGAATCTGTTAAAAACCATGAGGGAATAATTATAAACAGCTTTTATTACACACGCGTTAGTTGTTATTGATTCAATCAATCATACAAATATATATACAAACTGTTGTAATTTTGATATATGAGAGAGGGATATAGTGATTTATGTTAAAAAGTGTTATTTATGTATCTTGATAAATTAATAACGTTTTTGTTTATTATTGTTTAAAAAGAGAATGCGTAAAAAAGAGTTTTATTATTATTATTTTTATACGAAGATTTTGATATAATTAAAAATTTAATAAAAATAAATCTTTGTTTTAAAGTATTAAATATTTGAATTCTGACAGTGGAACCATATATTCTACGTTTTATAAATTGAACTAATAGCAAGAATTACTATACAGACTTCGTCTTTGAATGAACTATTTGTTAATTATTAAAGCTATATTGAACAAATATTATATTTAAGATAATAATTATTTATGGAATACACTGTATATACTTTATCTAAAAATCATTTATAAAATTTTGATAAACCTTTAGTTTATAACCCAATTAAAAATTCCAGAAAAGAAAAGTTTTCTATATTTTATTACAAAAATTTTAACGCAAGGGAGCGTTAAAACTCTTTAATGTAAAACATTTTAATAAATTGAATTTTAGAAATGGGTATAAATTTTTAGCTATGCAATTTTTTATGATCTTATTTTCTGTAGGATGAATTCCGAATTCGTCAATCACATGATCGAATAAGTAACTGACTTTTCTCTAATTTTAATTTTATCGGTCTTCATTGTCAATCCAGCCTTCTCAAATCTTCTTAATACTTCTTCTATATTAACTACATGATCAAATATTCTCGTCCGCAATAAATACGTCGTCTAAAAATACACTAACCATAGTATCTAGTAACACTTTGTTAATTTTAAAGACACAATAATTGATTATAATTTTATTTCAATAATTTTTTACACCAGAAAGTCATATTACAAATTTAAATTCAATAAAAATATCAAATTTTTTTAATAATTATTTTCCTAAAATTTTACATAATGAATTTTTTTTATATCTATTTTCAAAATAATAATCATATTATTTTTATTATAATATGATTTAATTCCCCAATCAACAATATGCAAAATTTTTAATTGACTGTTGCCTTATAATATACTACATATATCTTAAAATGGCAAAAAACTGGGACATGCCACCCCTTTCTGGTCAAACAAAAAAATATATACATACTATATAACAAAGTTGTAAAAAACGTTATAAATTTACTACATACTAAAATAGAAGAAAATTGCTATAAAAAAATATATATTACATTCACAATAACATGAAGTTTTGCCATAATGTCTCCATGGTAATCACCCCTGGAGCCGGTACCATTTCAGCCATTCTTTTGGTAGTGGAGTCACGGACTCCACCTGACTTAATATCTTTAAAATGGCATAAAACTGGGACATATAGGAATTCCACTTAATAGGTTTTGCATAAAGCTATGAAATATTTATCGGAGAGCTAGTCAACCCAAAATGGATTCTATATATCGGTAATAACCGACATCAGTCGAAATTGCTAAAAGGTACTTACATTCTGGATTAACTCCTAATTGTAAAAATGCATCTATTAAATTTATCGTCGAAAATATTATAACACCCACGATTCTATTTATCAGGTCGACGAAAGTTGATAGTAAATGGTTATCTATCTCATAAAATTTGTTGATTGTTAAACAAAATATCCGCACGACACCATATTTCTTTAAGACATTAGCCGTTGGTGTGATTGGAATTGTTGGTGAATCCACCTTTTCGATAACACTTTGGTCTTAGTCTTAACTCGGCTTCAAAATTCGTCGCAGCGGAAATGGAACTATTCTTGCTGAGTAATGCGTTAGGTTGTATGTGGATAACTGCTTGTTGCAGTTTTATTTCTCCTAATTTTTCTTTAAAATCTTGAGGAAATTTCGATGCAATAGTATTTAAAGTGGGAATATTCATTTATCAATCCAAACTTCTTCCGGAAGCTTTATATCGAATTCTCTAAGAAATTATATTCCAAAAAAAGGAAATTCTCTCCTTTAACTACCCAAATAAAAATTTGGAAATATTTTTTCTTTCGACTTTCAATGTACATTTACCCAACCTTTCTTTTGTTATTTTTACCCCACTAGCTTATACGCAGGCTGATGGTTTGCCAATACGTCTCCAGGCAACTTCATATATCACACTGCACGCAGCATTAGTATTGAATTCGATTGTAAACCACAAACCATTTCGCATCAATGGTAGCTTTATTAGAAAACTAAAGGTGAGGTGTCTGGTAGAATTATCTATATGGCTTGAGTTCTGCTATCTTTAGCGATGTGGTTTGTTTTTTCGCAACGAAAGCATATGACTCTTTTTTGTATGAAGTTAGGTTTAAAACTAGATTTATAATTATTAAGAATATAATTATTATGATTGAATTAAAGCAATTTTATAACACCTTTTGGGGTAGTTTGAAATGGATAGATATATCGGGTCTAAAACCAAATTTATTAAAACGTTTTACATTTTAAAAGCTCTTTTACCACCCAGCACCTTAAAATAAAAATTTCATAATCAAATATAAAATATAAAAACCAGTTATTTTTATTTGATACAAATTTTACAAATAATTTTTAGATATAAATGATATAATAATTAATTTATTTTATTTTTTAAAATAATTATTTAAGAAATATATTTTTTTCCTATAAAGGCCTAATAGTTAATAATTTGTTGATTCAAAAATTGAAGGCCATACTTATTTTTATGACTTTCATTGAAATAACTGCTAATGAGTGCATTTTTATTTATTCCAAATCCTCATGGCTTTTAACAAATTCCAAAAAAAACATACCGATTTGAGAGCTCGAAACTACACCTTAGGATGCTGAGTAAAATTTATCGAAAATATAATACTCATATATTTAAACTTAAGTCACAAATTTGACTCAAACTTATTCAATTTTTTTTTTAAAAAAAGTTCCAAGGACTGTATTAAATCAGCTATCCTTAACAACGCGTTTATGAAATATATGGATGGCCAGCAAATCAAGGAACTCGTTGAATGCATGTATCCAGTGTGCTACTCGAAAAACAATATTATCATAAACGAAGGCGACGTGGGAAGGCTAGTGTATGTCCTGGAGAAAGGAACGCTCCACGTAACCAAAGAGAACAACCATTTAATCACCCTAAACCCCCCAACTATTTTTGGGGAGTTAGCGGTTCTATACGATTGCCAAAGAACGGCAACTGTCTTTGGTAAAATTATTTTTATAAAAATATATTATTTTTTAAAAAAAAATTAAAAACAAGGCATAGAGGGGTAGGGGGAGGTAATATTCTTACTAACTTAGGGGTGTGTAAAAGTTCTTGATATATATATATATATATATTAAGTTTAAGAATTAAAAATTAAAAATTTTGGTAGTATATTATCTATTAAAGTTAATAATAAAAGGGGCATCACTTGCTTTTACAATCCATCACAATCTCAGGGGGCTCAAGAAAATTTTTTAAAATTACCCCTTTTTTTAGCTAACATTATCTAAAATTGGCTTCTTCTTAGTGGTATAAAAACAAATTTAAATTTTGAGGGGGGTTCTTCAAATTTCTCAGAGGCTCGAGCCCCTGCGCGCCTCTCCCTATTGTTGATATAAATAAATATTTAAATGATTATAAGTATAGCTATGACTGATTGCAATCTATGGGTCATCGATCAGTATTCATTTAAATCGATTATGGTGAGGACAGCTATGATTAGGCAAGAAGAATACATGAGATTCCTCAGAAGGTTTTTTTAAATATAATGGGCATAATATCTTTCATATAGTTTATTTTCTTTCAATCTTAAATGTTTTTATCCAATTACTTTATACATTTAGATATTTCGTATGATATCAAACGAATATTTACTATAGTTTATAATAGAAGTAATTTTGGTCAAAATATAGGTTAATAATATATAAATTCTCAATTTGGACCAATATTGGTGCCTCCCCGCAAAATAAAAATTAATGTCTACTATCTTTATAATTATATTATAAAATAACTTTCAAATATATGTATTCAAAGCGTTCCGACATTTTCGACATTAAGTCAAGATACCATATCTAGAATAGCCTACGTCATCGAAGAAGTTTTTTTTAATAAAAAATTCATATATAACAGCATGTTTTATATCGCAACCATTTTACTATTAATTGTTAAAAGTTGAAATTTAATATGAACACAAATTGAAGATGCCAAATTAATTTATTAAATATAGTCAAAATCTAAGATAACATAAATAAACTAAAAGTAAAATCTAACTAAAAATATGAAATAAAAAAAAATTATAAAAGTTTCCTTTTCTTTTTCTTCTTAATATTACATTCTTTATCTCTATATTTATACTACTAAAATTTACATACCATCGATAATTATTTTATATATTTGTCCTTTAATTTGTTTACAATTTCAAACTTTCAATTTTACCTTTACAACTTTTCAATTATCCTTACAAATTTTATATTCAAATTAACTGTTTCTTAAAATTATCATCAATTCAATACACGTATTCGACAATAATGGCGTTGCTAATGCTTTCACTTAGACTTAATATTTTATTTATTTGCGCCTGGTTCAATAATAAATTTGGGGGCATGATAAATAGGTTTTGACATTTCTACCGACGCCAGTGATGATGACATCATTGATTTTTATATCTATATGTATAAAAAATCAAACATTATTCCTTATTATAGCTGGGTAATCGGATTATCCTAGCCTTTTTTTGGACAAGGATAATAAGCCTAGGCCAATTTTTTTTAGCTAAGGCAAGGAGCCAATTTTTGGGCAAATTATTTTGGCTAAGGCTAAGTCTGAGCCGTCTTATTTTGCTGAGCTCAAACTGATTTTGATTGGCTAAGGTTAATATTAAGTATTTGGCTAACGCTCTATTTTACTGTTAGTTTAATAATAATTTAATTCAGAAGGATGACAAATGTCACATTCATCATTAATGAAATTAGGTGAAATATTTTAAATCCGTTTTGGTGGAAATTCAATAATTATGTGATTCCGATGGTTGACAATTGTCATATTCGTCATTTTAAAATTTCCGTCATTTTAAAATTTCCAATGTTTTTTAATGAAAATAGGTATAAATTAATATATTATATCTGTTTTAATGTAAATTCAATAATATGTAATTATTAAGGGTGACCATCGTCATATTAGTGGTTTTAAAAACTTTAAAGGATGTTTACTTAGTTTCATTTTTTTTAACTTATACATAGACAGTTTAACAAAATCATAGATAGTTTATTTCAAATCGTAATAATAATATATTATATATATCTCTTACTCTCTCTATATATAGTATTAAAGTAGTGAAGGTCAACGGTCCAGTCCTATTAGTCTTAGACCGACACCGGACCGATTGTCGCACCAATCTTATTTTTGAAGACTGTGGTCCGGACCGGTCTTTTATTAATATTTTAGTTTGCTTTATTATTCAATTAATATATTTTTTTGCATATTTTATAATATTTTTCTAGAGGAGTTATTTTAGATTTTGTTAATTTATATTTTACAACATGAAAACCATAAGTTTGTCCAAGAAACATTTTACTTATAGTCCTAATAAAAAACATAGAGTATGTGTTCACTGCAGTACCAAATTTAATGTATCGTCAGCAACAAGTAACAAAATTATTATTTATAATTTTTTAAGCAATAATCAAAATATACAGTATTATTTTATTAAAATATTTTGGTTATTATTTATATAGTTCTATTTTTTCTTAAGAAACTGTCTGAATAATTCATTGTCAAAATAACTTAACCTTATTCTTAATAAAATAATTAGGTACCTTAAGCAAACATCTGATAAAATATATACTTCTAATGATGAAAATGAAAATATCTCAAAAACACAATCTACTAATTTTAATATGCGCTCCACAAGCACAAAATTACTTTCTTAAATATCATTGGATAAATTTCAAACTGAACATATGAACCATTAATAATAAAATGGGTAGAAGACTTATGAAAGTTCAAGTCTTCATAATTTAATCAATTATTTAAACTCAACTGCTACAATTTGGTCTAAAAACAAAGTTAAAAATTTTTATACAGTTAATTTTGAGAAACTAAAAAATTCTTTAAAAGATATTTTAAATAAAAATAATTCTTTAATAAGCTTTACCACAGATATGTGGAGCAGTATAAATAATATTTCATTCATAGTCATTACTGCACACTATTGATTCTTCTTTTACATTAAAAAATATTTTACTTGATATAAATCATATCCCATTTCCTCATACTTCTGAAGAAATATCCTTAGCTATAAAAGAAGTAATTGATGTATATCAATTGGAGGAGAATATACTGGCCTCTACAGATAATGCCAATAACATCCTAAAAACCGTGGATATTTTGCAGAATATTATAAGGAACAAAAATTTAAAGTTCCTCTTCTTATTCCTTCCATGGCAGTTCTACAAACAAAGACATTAGCATTTATATAAATTAAATATTTGTATTAATTATTATATTACATAATTAATTTTATATTGTTTATATAATACTCTTATAATATTTAATAAAATGATAAAACAAATTAAAACCGGTCTTTTTATTTTGGACCACGGTCTGGATCGATCTTTTCTTAAGGACCGTGGTCCGATCCGGTTCGAGGGTCACGGACCGGCCCGGAACAAAGACTGGACCGTGACCTTCACTATTTTAAAAAATTAATTAAAAGTATTTGATTGAATAATAAATTAAAATTATGAAAATAAAAATAATAGACTTTAACATAAATAATGTTTTCGTTAAGCATATTAATTGAAACAATATTTTTTTGTTTGACAAATCAATTTAAATAATATAATAATAAAAATGTTATTTGCAAAAAAAAATTATCCAATATTTTATAATGGAAATAAGTAAAAATGAATATTTTACATCTGAAAATTTAATAATAATGAAATTCATAAGATTGATTATCATAATCTTTTAAAACTTTTACAATTTTAAAAGAAAATAGGTAAAAATGAATATTATAAATCTGTTTTAATGGAACTTCAATGATAATGTAAATGGGAACAATTGTCATATTCAACATTTTAAAACTTTCCAATATTTTTTTTAAAGAAAATATGTTAAAATTAATATTTTACAACTGTTTTTGTGAAAATTTAATAATAAAATTCATAAGGGTGACAATTGTCATCTTCGTAATTTTAAAACTTTTCTATTTTTTTTTACTGAAAATAGGTGAAATAATATTCTAAATGTTTTATTTTGACAATGTTATTAATTCAGGTATATAGTACTAATTGATGCAGAATTTTTTGATTTATAAAAAATATCATTATATTTTTCAAAGTATTTGTAAATAATCTTATACTTCAAAAAAACCCTGTGGGTTTTTTTTAATATTATAACTGAATAATTGTATCATATTAAAGTGCAAAAAAATTTTTTTAATAACTTAATATATTTTTTTGTACTTTACCTTTAGGATGACTATTTTCACCATATATTTCATTATAATTAAAACAGTAAAATATACAATTCTTAATTATTTTAACGATAGGGAAGTTTATATTGAACATTTAATATTTATATTTTTATTGAAATTACATTTAAAATATTCATTTATACCTATTTTCATTAGAAAAGTTTTAAAATATCGTCAATTTTTACCCTTCTGAATTACATTATTATTAAATTATAATAAAAAATGACTTATAGCCTTAGACAAACAAAATATGCTCCGGCTTAGCCTTAGCCTATCAAAATTGGCTTAAGCTTAGCCTTAGCCCAAAAATATCGGCTCAGACGTAACCTTATCCAAAATAAATTGGCTCATGCTATAGCCAAAAAAATCGGCTATTGTCCAACTATAACTTCTTACACTTTAAAAATATGAAAAAATTTACCCAAATGTTAAAATTCTAATTTTTTTTATCATTTTAGACCCATTATGATCAAGGAACTTACATAATTCGCCAAGGAGCTCGGGGCGATACATTTTTCATCATAAGCAGGGGAGAAGTAAAGAATAAATTATAACATTAGACGTTTTCAGTTGTACTATATTGTTCGTTTATGTGTAACAAAAAAGATTATATTTAGGTTTCCTAATTTATGATTCTAAGCAAAGTATCTATTTTATTAAGAAATAGGCTGGAACATCTAAGTTATTGAGTTGTTGCGTCATGTCATTATCTGGATCTAAATAGCTAAATATTTGTTGAGCAAGTATAAAATGAGAGGTTAGAACCTGGACTAAAAAGATTTCTGATTTGTAAAATTTCGAATAGTTGGTTATATTTCCGATTTTTAAATTCCGCTACTGTTCCGAGAATCCCAGGTTTTGGTTTCAACCTAGCAAAATAATTATTTTAAATAATATAAATCCCCCTAATGCCAAATTTTAAATAATATAATACATATATAAATTATTTGCCTTATTGTTAAATACCGGTTTCTGGAACCTTCTCTTAGAAATTTTAAAATGTTATCAGAGTCCGTTTCTAGTATTCTGGTTCCGGTTTTAAATTCCGCTTAAAATATTAAATGGACATTTTAAAATCTTTTATATCATAACGAGATACGGAATATCTCAAAAAATGGAATTCCCCACCATTTTTTTGGGCATTTTATAAAAATCATGAGAATTTAGCTGCCCACTAGTCGTCATTTATTTAATAAAATCATAAAAATATATATGCAGCCTTCATTCTTTGAATGAATAAATGAATAATTGTTATAGATTATATGTATAACAAAATATTTATCTAAATATGGTTCTTAAATTATTATTTGAAATATAAATTTAGAAAAAAGTGTTTTTTTTGCAGTAGAAATAAACAATTTTAGATTTTAACTTGTTCATCCAAGGATTAAAGGTTGTTACATATTTTAATAAATTTCTTTAAATCAACAACGAGTAACGAGTAAGCACTCTAAAACGACATTCGAGAATCTAAATTCTTTAGGCATTCGTTCCCCAAGACAGACATATATGTATAGAGCAACAGAGTTTAATGATGAATTGACTCATATTCATTTCAAATTTAAAAATTAATTTTAATTCTGATAATTGATTCAATATTTTTATTAATAATTTTTATATCATTATAATTATTTTCATCTTCTAGAGTGGTATTAATCCATCCTAGGGCTTCTCATGTTGCTCTTACAATAGCGCGCGTCATAAATTTACATTTTATAACCTGAGAAAGACTAACTAATTTTATGCAGTGAAATCCTAATTAGGAGAATACATTACAATTTTAAAATAAGGCATGCGATACCAAGTTATGACCCTAATTATCTATAAGTCGGCGCTGGCTAATTTGCACTTTCTTATATCAGTTATCTTTAGATTTTAGTTTAGTTAATCGGCTAACATATTCGAAAAATTCGAAGAAAAATAAAATATCCAATGTGTGGGACAGAATTTAAGAAATTATTATAAATTGCTATTATAAATTGCTTTATTTTTAAAATAAATCATCAAAAATTAGGAAAATTTTTGAATAATCCTTTCTAATCTTTTCAGAACCCTACTCTCCCTTCTGCGTTTCTATCGCCACCGTTGTCTACTAGGTTAGTGTTGTTAAACGGCTCGGAGCCGTCGGCTAACTAAGGCAGATCCTAGCTCGAATTTCGATAATATAGCCGACGGCTCACGTCAACTAGGGCTCTATAAGTCTTCAACAATCACAGCCTTTTATTTATTTTTTTATTTGAGCATCCTTTTCATTGTTTCCTTATAACTTCTTCCAATTTATTCTATCTCTCTTTTTTCTACAAGTCCAAACTAACCCCCCATTCACAGTTAGAAATATAGAGCTTATTTATATAATTCGCCGCGAACTCGAGTCAACTATGAATGAGGGGTAAGGCATCCTCTTTTCACTTTACTCTTATTTAAGCTTTAATTGAAGAGATCCTTAAGGTTATCCAGATACCTTTATTCCATGCACACTCCTTTATAGATTTATTTAACACCCAACTGAAAATTCTTATTTTTGTTTCATATCTTTTCTCCCGACAGCCTACCATTCAGCTTCTTAGAGTAAAAATTTAGATTCACTAATAATTTTTACTTTAGACATTTTTTTTGTAAGTATGTGATAAGGAATTTATTTTGGTGTATGATTTCTAATCTCTAGAATTTTCAATGATAAGAAATTAACTTTTGCAACCTTACGAGCATTTAATAAATTTGGGGATGATTAAGCCTTCACTATGAAATAGAATACATTTTTCTTTATAAATCAAGATAATTTTAATTTACATTTTTTTTTTATTAATTACTTTATCAGGTTAAGGTTACACTGATAGATCCGTTTGAGCAGAAAGAGATATTTATCAGAACATTAGGAAGTGGGGAATTTTTCGGAGAAAGGGCCTTAAAAAGGTTTTAACAATTTTTTATTTTAATAAAACTTTTGTAACTAATTTATTTACTAATTAATGGACGAAATGTTATATTAATTTTATTTTTTTAATGAATAATAATTAATAACTCGTTTCTAGGAATTATTATTATTTTTTTGTTTATCTTTTTGAAATTTCAAATCATATTTTTTTTATTTGTCAGCGAAGACTTGAGGACAGCAAATATTATCGCATCATCACCGGAGGGAGTAGATTGTTTGGTTATAGATAGAGAGTAAAATTTTAGTTGAAATATTTTCTCTCTCTTTCTCTCTATTATTAACAATTTTCTTTATTTATATTTTATTTTATTTTTTAACCAGAGCTTTTAATCAGCTTAAAATGGATTTGGATGACGCACTTAAAAGAGATTACTATGATAATTACGGATCTCACATAGATTTGTAAGTCTTTTTTTTATATGTGTAAAATTTATATTTCAAGGGATTAAATTGTTGTGAAATCTAATTTATTTTTTCGCAAAAAAAAAGAAGTGCGAATTCGTTTTTCCCAGCGAAATTCAGTATATATTTTGCATATAATGACATATGACGTTAAACCCTCTTGCAAAAACGACGACCAAAATTTATTTAAAATGCAATTAAGACCTATTTATTTTTTTTAAATATGTATTAACGAAATCGGTGTTCGAGTCCGATTTACTATATCGTCGGTCTAGAATTGGAGTGCTCCACTCGACATTTTTAAAATTTTTGAGTTAGAAGTGGATAATAGCTTATTTATTCCCAATATATATGAAAATAAAAACTATTAAAAAAATATTAATTTTTGCCAAAGTTATAGCTCTAACTTTACAATAAGTTTTTCCTATATATTATTTTAAACTTTAATGTTTATTTTCTAATTTTCAACATTTGCGCAAGCAAAGTACTCCAGTTCTAGGCCTACGATATATCATCCCTCCAAAGATGGAACCACCAAGTTGGCTTTAGAAAAAAAAACATGGTCCTTTCTGGTTTCGAACCCGAATACTGAACCGACTAGACCAAGACGCTATTCGAAAACATCAAATTTTTTTTGTATATAAGGATATAATTATAACGCTAGCTAATATTTTGCTAAAACACATAGAAAATCAATAACGTTTAACGCTATGCAGTATTACTCGTACAACAATTTTTGCATTTTTTGAGAAAAATGAAAAAAAAAAATTTCGTGATATTTCACGAGCAATTTTAACTTCTGCAACATGGGCCAATTGAAATTAAATAATAAATTAGTATAATCTGTTTGGAAGTGATAAATATCTAAATACTATACTATATTTTAAGAATTCCTTTTATTTGTTATACTTGGAGTTCTCAATATTATAGATAATTTAATTTATACATCGGATAAAAAATAACAGAAATATTTTATATAAAACAGGTAAGGCGATAGTAATAAATAGTGTTATTAAAAAACCAGTTTTGAGCTGATTTTTAAAAAAGGCTAACTCAATATTTCATCTAGAATAATATTACGCAAGCCTGAAGACTTTGTTTGTAGAAGGAACAACGGTTTGGAGGTCTATTAGTGAAATCTCAAGACTTAGGCAATATTTTTCTTGCTAAAATATTGAGTTAGCCGTTTTTAAAAATCGGCTCAAAATGAGCCTTTCAACAACACTAGAAATATGTATTGTTTTATTTTTTTATTTTTTGTATTTTAAATCATTAATTGAGCGCGTTATTTTAAATTTAAAAATCTGTTTTTGTCGGAAATGCATACCCACCCAATAATCAAATACTGTAGATCAAAATTATTATTTATTAATTAAAAACATAAAAATAGTTTTTTATTTAAATTTTAAGCATTTATATTATCAATAAAGTAAATAATTAAAATGTTTTTAAAAAAAATTTTCATTTTGAACCCTTTAGGATTATGGTCTTTTAACTGAAGAAACTTTAGTTTTTATTAAGTTTCATACATAACATAAAGCTATCAATTCATGTATACATTATGGGAAAAATATTCTATTTTTAAGATCAAATCGTATAAAATCCATTATATCATCACATTAATCCCTACCACTTCAATAACGAACCTACTATAGACCCATCATTCCAATTACTCTCCATTTCATTATAACAACATTAAAATCATTTCGTAATAATCTTGCTTCGAGTCCTACCATTTCATTTCTTATGCATTCTATTATATTGGCCTTCCTAATTTTTACGTTTCAAGAAGGGAGATAGTTCCATAGTATCCCCATTAAAGTGCGAATAAAGATCGCTAACGCCAAGTCTCATCATCTGGATGAAGGTCCTAATTTTATCCATATATTTATAATAAAAATTGTTTGTTATTAGCCCCCCTCTCCCAGGTCCTAGTTTTTGACCTTAAATTAAAACTAAAACAATTTTTAAATAGAATTTCCGACTCTAGATTTGGTAATAGAAGACATAACATATATTAGAGTTATAAAAGGAAGGCATTATCTAATTGGGAATGGGTAGATATGTTCGATTATTGTAATATTGCAATGTCGTAATTCAAAAAAGTTAGATTGTATTGTCTTAATTCAGATAAGTTAGATTGTATCAGCTTCTTTTTTTCAAAGTTTTCAAGCCGCAACCTTTATTATATTTTATTTATTATTATTATAATTTAACTATCGATTTTGACTTTCGAAGCACTCTGAAAAATAAATAAATGAAAATTGAAGCATTCCAATATGCAAAAACGATATGGAAATATTTATTTTCTAAATAATGAATTTAAAATAAAAATAATTTTATTCTTTTTTGAAATGATAAAAAAAAATGGACATCTCCCTTTCCGACCAAATTAAGCTAATTATTGATGTTTTTTTAATATAATTTTCTATAAAAACAAAAATATAAGCTTATGCAAGCTAATTTTTCTGAGAATTTGTAATTTGACATTTACCTATAATATTTTGTTTTTATTAAATTAAAAATTTTGGAAAAAAAAACCAAAAAAAAATTTTAATATAATTTAAATTATAATATATATTACATTTTATTTTTTAAAAAATTTGTTTTATCACTCATTTAACACTTTAAAAAAATAAATAAGCTTATAAAAATTTCTTTTTTTTTAATTTTATAATATAATATCATTTTTTTGAATTTTTATACATTATTTAAAATTTAGTTTCTTTTAAGATCAAATATTTTTTTGATCTTTTAAAATATTTATTAAAAATTAAATGTTTTACAAAAGACGAAAATAAGATATAAATATATAAACATTTTTACACTAAATAATAATATAATAAACATTAAAAGAATTCCCAGAATTTTTTTTTCCTATAATGATAACTCTGACATAATCGTCACGAAGGAAGCGAAATTCATTTCTCATTTTGGAATCCAGAATCCAGTTATTATACGAATTGATTATGAGTATAGGATTAATTATTCAGAAGTTCAGAAAATCTCGCAAAAAATATGAGGCAGATTGGTCCAGTATAAAAGGAGTCAAAATTGTTTTCCTTAATCCATTCCTATATCATACTATGTAAAAAAAATAAAAATTATAAATTTGTTTTCATTATAGTGTTGTTAAAAAGCACGATTCAAGTCGATTTTTAAGGTTATAACCAAAATAATATTATGCAAGCCTGGAAATTTAGCTCATAGCTGGCATAAAGGTTTGGGGCATCTATTTGATAAATCTTCAAGGCTTACATAATATTATTTTGGCTATAATCTTAATCGGCCCGTTTTTTTTAAATCGACCCATAACCATACTAGATGTTATAATTCAAGTTTTTTAAAAAAAAATCGGGCTTGTATTCAAAGGCACGGTTTAATTCTAAACTTGAACGACGCATTCATTTATTATTTTTTCGTGATTTTAACCAGAATTCTTGAATATAATTATGATAATAAAACAATTATATTTTGACCGATTTTTCCAAAAAAATTTTTTTTTTTAAAAAAAGGAAATTTTTTATTTTCTTCATAACATCGTTTAGTTTATCTACGATTATTTTCAAGGGTAATTTTTAACCTATTATACATTTTTTTTCGTGTTAATCTTGAGTAATTATTTGCACTAGCAATAAAAATAGAATTTTTAAAAAAAATATATATTTATTAGATAAGGCATAGTTTATAAAATATTCTTTTATAATTTTATATCAAATCAATAAAATCCCACAATAAATATACTAATCGGGCTCATACCCGACCGACTTCGGATCGGGCTATTTATAAAAATAATTCCGGGTTTGATTGGGCCTAAATTTTAAAATTTTATTTATTTAAAATAAATTCGGGCCGGGCTGATAAATAACTTCTATTTCGGGTCGGGCTTTAGGGGAAATAGTTTGAGATTGGACCGTGCCAGACAAATTCAAGTCGGGTCATGCTTGAAAAATTAGGCCCGATACTGATATATAAGGGTAAAAGCTTTTTTTTATAAAATTGAAGCAAAATTAATTAATTCATTTTTTTTTATATTATAATATTTCATGAAAATATAATTTTAAATTTAAATCCAAAAAATTTATGCTAAGCCAATTTCCAAAAAGTTATTATCCCTGTTTTATTTTTTTATTTTATCGAAACTTCGTAAAAAAATATATATATATCATAATATCAAAGATAAAAATATATTTATCAATTCGTTCGTTATTTTGAGGGGAAAAGAGGCTTAAAAAATTTTGCAAAAATTATTAAATATTTAAATGGTCATAGCAAGGCGAATAATTAATCTAAAATACGTAAAATGCAGGTAAGAAATAGCTGGGAAAAAAATCTGTGTTATTTTTTTCCATTTATTTTTTTCCATTTGAGAAAATAGAACATAAATTAGTTTCAAATTTACCTTTAAAAACATGTACAAAAAAAATCGATCATATTTTTGAACAGTATATTATTTATATATCATATATAAATCTAGGTTTATTTATAATATATTTTGCTAGGTTATTTTTTGATTATTTTTTTTTTGAAAAAATAACCTTGAATCTTAAGCGGTTTCTTTGTTGATTCCCAGTTACTTAGATGTAAGCATACTGAATAACTAAGTTGCCTGCTCTATTGTAAAAGCTGTAATTTTACAGCCCCGAGGATGTGGATGTTGTGGGGTGCCTCTTGCTGTTAAGATTGTATTTGAAAGCTCCGAAAATTTTTCAGGGCTTCTCTAGTTCCTCAGATCTATTATAAATAAGCAAACCGGAATACCTCATTTACTTGCCATATTGATGTATTATAAAATTCCAAGAATTTTGAGGGAACCTCTAGTTCATATCATTTGGACTTGTACAAATTAAACTTTTAACAATCACGGTTCCTTCGTAGTGAAGCCACTCTCTAAGGATTATCAGATACTTCAAATTCGTTTTTATTAAAAAAAAATCACATGCAAAATAACTCCTAATACAATATAATTTTTTTTTGTAAAAATATACCAAATAAAATCTTTTAAGAAATCTCAGGGGAGGTCAGTGAAGGTTTTCTGCCGTCTAAAAGATTTTCGAAAGATTAATGTTTTATAAAAGAAACCAATATATAGAATATAATGGGTTGCACGTTAATTTATTATTTATTTGAGAATATAAATTGCAAATACCATTTTAGGTTTTTATATCCAGGGATTCGAACCGAACCCGAACCCGGAGAAGTGAACCCGGGTTTTTAGAAAAAAACTCTGAACCCGAACCGAACCTGAACCCCATTTATAAAATTTCCAAAACCCCGAACCGAACCCAAGAATTTTATTTGAACCCGGGTTCAATCGGGTTCAGTGTATTATTTAAAATCATATATTAATATATGTAAATACAAATATTATATTTTCAAATTTCCAATTAAATGAAGTCTTAATAAATTTTAAACAATTTAATTCATTTATGCCATTTTTAAATTTATTCTCGATTCCTATTGGAGTGTTAAAAAATTTTAAACAATTGAATTAATTTACGCCATTTATTTTTAAATTTCTATCTTATTATTCTTAAAGATTATTAATTAGAAGAAAATGGTTAACAAATCAAAGTAAAAATTATTATATTGTTAATTTAAAAAATTCTAAACATCTAACTTAAAAATTGTTAAATGTAGGGCAGTTTTTGTGAACTTATTAAAATGATTTTAAAATTTATATATGCTAATCATTTATTTTTGGTTCAGTTTAATTTTTACAAAATATTAATGAAGTGCATATTATAAATGAAATTAAATTTATAAATATCTCTTTTTTAATTCTGAAATCATTGCTATTTAAAAAAATTGTTCTCTTTTTATAGATTTAAGATTAAAGATAAAGTCATATTTGATAAGCATTTTACCCTTAATACAATAGAAAAAAAAATCAATATGTTCATATTGCAAAGTAAAAATGTCTGGTAATCACTTGTCAAATTTAGAAAGACACCAGGAAAGAAATCACAACAATGAATATTTAAATTATTTAAATGAAAAAACCAAATATCAGGAATTGTTATTGGCAAAAAAACCTAAAATTAATATAGAAACCTTTTTTCCAAAAAAGCATATAAGTATAAATATATCATCTAATGATTTGATGAGTTCTATACTAGAACTTGTTACTGTAAATGGCCGGCCTTTATCAATTATTGAAGATTCGGGATTTCAAAGAATTATAAATCCACTCCTATCTGGGTTCAATTTAGTTATAAACAAAGAAAATTTATCCAGAACTATTAATAAAACAGCCCAATCAATTAGAGACAAAATATCGAGAGAGGTAGAAGGAAAATTAATAAGTTTAAAAGTTGATGCAGTTCAACGACTAGATAGGTCAATTCTTGGTGTAAATATTCAATTTATATCAAAGTCCATTATAAATTTGAGGACTCTTGGAATTGTAGAGCTGAAAGAGAGATGTACAGGAGAATATATAAAAGAGAATATATTAAAAACTTTACTAAAATTTAAAATTAATATTCAACAAATATACACAATTACTTCTGATAATGGTTGTAATTTTTTATGAGCTATAAAGCTCCTGCAACCTGAAACTGATTATGATATAAGGAGTGAATCAGCAGATGAGGAAAATATGGATGTAAATGTATATAAATATGATATTGATGATATACAAAATACTTTTTTATCAACTATTATATCCTATCCGATTTATAGTGTACGGTGTGCACACACTTCAGCTGGCACTTCAAGATGCTATAAAATTATCACCTATTGTGGAAACCATTGCAAAAGCTAGGAGCCTAAATTTAAAATTAAGACATCCCACTTACCAAAAGTTATTAAAAAATATGAAACTCCCTAAGCCTGTGTTAGATTGCCACAGATGGCATTCAACCCATGATATGTTAGAAAGGCTGATTTTACTAAAACCCAATATCGAAGATTTTTTTACAGAGCAATCTGATTATTTATTGACTGAAGATTGGAAAGAGATAATAACGATTGTTCGAATTTTAAAACCGCTAAAAATCGCAACCAAACAATTCCAATCTGAACAGTTAACACTGACAGATTTTTATGCAGCATGGTTAAGATGCTGCATCGAACTGGAAAAAAATCCAAACCATTTTGCTCAATTACTATATTCTTGTCTTAAGAACAGAGAAGAAAGGTTTATAAAGAACGAAATTCTCTTAGCTGCCATATACCTGGGCCTAAGATACAAGGTTAATTAAAAGCTTAGTAAATTAATTATTTTAGATTTATATTAAAATTGTTATTTTATGAAATATTTAAATATAAAAGATTTGTGCGAAAAAACATCTTGTCAATTTATGGAGACGAATTAAAAGCTTAACAACGCCAATTTTATCTGATGATATTAGTTCCGATGAAGTTATTGAACAAGAAGATGATTTAGAGAAATTGATACAACTTAAAGAAAGGCAGGAGAAAATACTTAAAAGAGGGCCAACGATTGCTGAGAAAAGTATTGGAACAATATTTACTAGATTTAGCGATTATATAAGATTAGATAAGAAGGAAAATATTTTGCATTTTTGGGAGTCTGCTAAGCTGGAACACCCTGAATTATATATTTTATCTAAAATCTTATTTGCTGTTCCTGCAACCCAAGTTAATTTTTCATATTTTCACATATAAATACATTTAACATAGGTTAGCGTTGAAAGATCTTTTTCACATTTGAAATTCATTCTTTCACCACATAGATCGAGGATGAGTGAACAACTCTTGGAAGATATTATGCTAATACGTCTAAATAAAATTTTTAAAATTGATACATGACTATATGCTTTGTATTTTTAACTATATTTGCCTATAAATAAAATAAAAAATTTATTTTTTATATCAAATTTATGTCTAGTTTTTTATTATGATTTAAATATAGAATTTTTTTTATCAACTCAAAAATTCTTGAACCCGAACCGAACCCGAACCAAACCCGGGTTCAAAAATATTTCCCTGAACCGAACCCGAACCGAACCCACCTTTTTTTTTATACCCCGAACCGAACCCGAACCGAACCCGGTCTAAAATTTTGTCGGGTTCGCATCCCTGTTTATATCTTTTCTTCCAATAAATAAAATTGGTTGGTTTTAGTTTGCTTTTGTATTATTTATTTTATTTTATTTTTTTGGTGAATATGCTAATTTTAATTTTAAATTAAACAATAAAAATTTCTTGGTTAGTAATATCCTTAAAATATTTTTTAGGATCAAAAAAAATAATTCATCTGTTCAATATCAGGTGGGGTAGAGTGGAGTGGGGAGGTACAATCAACTATCTGTTATAAATCCCTATTGAATATTTATTTATTTTTGACAAGGATAATTAGTTAATTTTTTGTTATAAATTTAAATTTCCATAAGACAAAGGATCAGCTTAATTATAATTTCTGAATGGCGTTACTTTAACCCTTAAAATTATCATGTTATTAAGTTAGAATTTAAATTTTTTAAAATATCAATCTCCAATAATACATTTGTTTTGAACATAATATATATTTAATTTTATATTTTTTTTTGCGAAACAGAAATTTTTCCGAAATTCGCAAACTATATTTTTCGATGAAGTTATTATTTTTTAAAGAAAAATTTGTGATTTTAAACCACATATCATCGCAAAATATCTTGAACGACTATTTTTACTTAACTTCAGCATAGAGTAAAAATCAATTTCTTACTTCCCTCAAAAAATCTACTTATTGGCGCCGGGTACTGACCCTATTTTTATTATTATTTGTATAAACCTGAGTTCAAAAAACAAAATTAAACAATCATTTATAAAATTAAATTAAAAAATTCAATTTAATATAATTGCCCAATTGTAGTTTTATTTGTGTGGAGCATTATTCTCATAGTGCGCAAGCGCTAATTGATCGTTCTGTGTTTGCCAAATACAAAAAAAAAGCATTACAAATGGTATCTTGCAAATTGAGCAAATTATCGTTTGTCGTTAGAAACCATTTTAAAAGACTCAGACTGATTAGATTTTTTTCAATACTTTTTTTAAATTCATTTTGCACGTTGATCTACTTTAAGAACTCCGTGTTCTTTTGTGCAAGAAGGCCGACAAAACCTTTCTTCCAACCCTTAATTCACAGTTAGCGCGAATTCGCGCAGGAAGTACACAAAATATCCTGTATTTCTGTAAAAATAATTAATTTATCTTTTAAAATGGAACATTTAGAAATTGATTAAACGATAATATAATTTTTTAAAAAAAGAAAACCATTTAAATTTTTATAAACAGTTAAAATTTTGACTCAACCATACTAATAAAAAATTTTATGAAAAATGCAAATGGTAGGCACTATTAAAACCAATTTGCACCTCAGCACATAAGGATTGTATAAAGGGAAATTTTGTCATATAAATTTTTTACAAAAATAAGAAAAATGGATTATAGATAAAATGCATTTTTTAATATTATTAAAGAGGAAGAATTTCAACTGTATATAAATTCATTATTTATTTATTTCTTTAAATTAATGTAATAATAAACAGAATCGACGAAAAATTTTTGAATCTGTCCCTCGAAAACTTTAAGCGCGTGGCCACTATGGGCGTAGGCGGATTCGGAAGAGTCGAGCTGGTATAATAATTGATTGACACCTTTTTTTATCAGTTTCCTCATTGGTGGTAGGTCGCCTAACTTTGTCCGACCCCAAAACCGATTTATTCAAGATTTTATCCTAAAAATTTTGTTTTCAATATCCTATAAGTTTCAGACTCTATTTAGAATATCAGCCCATTTTTTTTTCAAGGTTAAAAGTAGGGCTGAGTCAAAGTTTGCCCAAATTATGTGATTTAACACTACTATCCACGATAAACGTAGGAGGGGGAGATCGAAAACTGTATGATATTAGGTTTAGTATTAACTAGATATTCCCTAATTTAACATTTTAAAGAACCTGGGAAATGTTGTTGGAGATTGGTGATGGAATGATAATCAATAATCCCACCACAATGAACACTCCCAATTATACAACTGGATCCTATATATGGTCCAAAATGAATTACTTCTCCATCTATAATTGAAAAAGAAAAAAATAATTGAGTAGCCCCAAGCTCATTCTTTCCCCCGGCATACCTTAATTTATCAAGGGGAAAAAAAATTTTATTTTATATTTATATTTTTTTTTAAAAAAAGGATATCAAATCAAATATTTTATAAATTTTTTTAAAGACTAAATAACATATAATAATGGTCTAGACCGACCATTCATTCATTTATATGTATCGATACAAATCCATAAAAACTCTTTTTAAAAAAATTAAATAAACCAAAATGGCGTGTAACCACTAACTGATTTTTAATCAACGATGCTCCCACCTCCATTTTCATGAAACCATTTGTTTAGGTAAGTATGTATAATGTCATTGTTTACGTATATCATTTTTTTGCTAAAAAAATTAAATTGTTATTTTTGATTTTTATAATAGCGTTCGAAATATTGTACTAAATGATAATAATATAATACTTTTTTTATCTAAATTTTTTTTTGAACGGTTACATATAAATTGTCAAATAAATATTTTTTAACACTCACGGTCATCTGGCATATGTAACGATAGTATTATTAAATGAGGAATTCATATGTAATAAACTTGCAGGGATCGCATTTTAGTTCTGATCCGACAGAGTTAGGATCGGTACGAATGGGACAGACATTCTTTCCCTTCCCGCCTCAGGGTCAAACGCCGACCTCGATAAAATTTTAACTGTTTTCTTATTATATATTTCTTTTTTATAAAACATAATTTTCAAGAATTAACAAAATAAAATATTTTTATTCATCGTTTCTTATTTTGGTGCTTTAAAATTTTCCCGCCTTGTTTGAAAATATCGTATGCTTTTTCAGCAGTCCAATAATTTCCTTTAATTTTTTTGCTTTCGAGATCGGAGACATATTTCTATTTTTCTCGGATGGAGATGGACTTTAGTAAATAATGTAATTTAATGCAGGGCGCTATTAAAATATACAATATGTCCTATCCTATACAGGGCAACTTCGGGTCTAAATAAAGCATTTTTTTGTTGCATCAATAACCCTCTTAATTTATGGTCATCATTTTCATAAGATTTAACCTGATGTATAAGTATCATAGTTGGGTAATTGGCTAAATGTCGGCTAATTCAGTTCAATCTACAGGAGATGTGTGCTTAAGAAAATCTGTAAACAATTTAGAAGCGAGTTTTATTATATATTAGTTTCTTTCAAATTTGTGCAACTATATTTTTAAGAAAACCCCTGAGGCCAAAGTGATTTGGGCTAAAACCTCGATTTTTTAGAGGGCTGGAAATTGGCTTAAAGTGATAAATATTTAGTAATTACCCAGCTATAATAAGATATAGAACCAATTTTCTCACCTAAATTTATATGAGGCCCAAATTTTAAAGTAAATTTAAAAATTAATATTAAATAAGGTAGAAATGTGGGACCCCACCTTAATGACTTGCAAATATTTTGCCATGAAAATCATGAAGAAAAAGCACATCGTAGAAACGCATCAGCAATCTCACATATTCGCCGAAAAGCAAATTATGATAGAGAGTCAATGCCCGTTTATTGTAAAGTAATCAAGGCATAGTTATTTTTATTATTTTTATGTATTATCGTGAATTGATGTCAACTGTCATTTATTTTATTTTATACATGGGATTGGTCTGAAATTCAACAAGAGACCTGCGATGGAACCATAAAGCCCGGTCCTATAAACCCATTTTTTTTAAAATTAGTATTGTTAGGTGGGGTAGGGAAAAGTCGAAAATGTTATGATTTTTTAACTGAATATCATTTTCTTCTTTTCCAAATCCCGTGTTTTTTTATAAAAAAAGTGTATGAATTTGGTCCCAGCCTAAAAAGTGTCTGATTTCAATAGGATCATGCTTAAACCAGTTTTCCTTGTTTCCAAAAACCTTAAAAAAGTGATGTTATTCCCTTAATGATATCTATCTGCCCTGAGTTAATAATCGCACTAAAATATACATCTATATTTTAAAATCGTTACTATGCATAATTATATAGTATTATAGTTAAACTTCCGAAATGTTTTACGGTTAGCATATAGAACATTCTGATAAGAATTGCTCAATTTTTGGTATAGTAAAAAAAATAAAAATAAAGAAAATATATAAATATTTGTTATTATATTTAAAGAATGCACAGGACATTCAAGGATAATAAATATTTGTACATGTTGATGGATTCGTGTCTGGGTGGAGAATTGTGGACAAAACTAAGAAACAAGTATGATTTATTATTAAATTTAATGTAGTTAAAAGGCTCGAATTTTTAAAAAGGCTAACCCATAATTTAGCTAAAAAATATTGAACAAGTTTGGAGATATTTCTAATAGATGGTAGAGAGGTTTGGAAATCCCTTAACAAAATCCCGGAGCTTACATAATTTTATTTTGGCTAAAATCTTAACTTAAAACAGGTCTGTGAACCATAAACCTTAGAACCCTTCAATATTTTACTAAACCTAAACCCGAACTCTTTTTTAAAATTTAGGGTTCTGGGTTCGATAACTGTTCTTTAAATATTAAATTTTTATTTATTGTTAAAATTATATTAAGATAAAATATATAAAAAACTATCATAAAATTAAATATGAAAAAACATGTAAATTATTTATAACATGTAACATAATTCTTTTTATTATTAATATAAAAAACATTTTTTGGTGGAAATTATCTTTCGTAGAATCCTTTTCATTCATATTTTAAAGTAATTCCATTTGTAAAAATTTAAAATTTTACCAGCATATTTCATAACATTTTTTTTTAATAGATTATAATTTTAGGAATATTTATTTTTGTTTGTTGATTTATTAAATTAAAAGTAAGTCCAAAGAAAAGAACATAATAAGGTAAAATAGCGTTATAAATCGCAAGTTGCATTTAGGCATAAAAAATCAATATTTAATTTTCACTTTGGAAGATATCATGATAATTCGTTTATATTCTAATCATAATGATAAATTATTTCTAAAGGCCTAAATATAGTAAAATAAAGTTTATAAAGACCTGATGTTTCTTTTATATTTTTACTAAATTTTATAAGTCTTTATTTTGCTGGACCCTGAACCCACCTGCCGAAATGTGGTTCACAGATACCACAATCCAAAACCGAACCCTTTTTTTAAAAAAGTGGTTTCACAACCTTGATTTAAAATTGCCTAAATCTAGCCGTATTTTAAATATCCGAATTAAATTTAAGTTTAAAGAATAGAGCATGAATTTTTAGAACTCAAAATATTTCGAAAAATTATGCAGTAGTTATATCAGATTGCAAAACTGTTTTTTTCCGTTTTTTTTGGTTTTATAATTACTAATACAATCTTTGTTTATTGCAATTTTTCCTTATTACGATTCTTAAATATAATCTATCGTTGCAAATTTTTCGATATCACCCATGACTTTACAATTTGTTCATTAGGTTAAATTGTGTTATTTTAAAAAAAAACTAACTTTTATTTTTGTCAAAAAATTAAGATTTTAAAAATGGTGTCAATTGTTTTACTGTTTTTTTTCCCCCGTTTTTATGTTTAGAAAAACAATTTTTTAAATTTCTTTTCGTTTTTTTTCTTCATTAGAATTCGAGGTTAATTTACAAAAAATTGATATAAAATTATTATATATATCATATTTTGCAGAGTTGTTAAAGGATCTGGATGCAAGTATCTAGATCCTGTATCTAGATATAAAAATGTGGTATCTGTATATGTATCTAGATATTTTTTTAGACGATGTGTCTGTATCTAGATCCATTTAAAAAGTATCTTTTAACAACTCTGAATACTCCGTCGCGATTTCTCGCCAAATGTGCATGCAGGGTAAGTACTTTATAATAATTTCTGTGTCTATAAAAATTAATTCTTTAATAAATTATTATATTTTATTATATTTCAATGTTTTACTACCGTAAATATCTAAATTATCAATTATAAAAAAAAATAAAATAAACTCACTATATTTGCTTTAGGAATTGTTTCGACGATGTGACGGCCCGATTTTACACGGCATGTGTGGTGGAAGCTTTGGATTACTTACATTCCAGGGGCATCATTTATAGAGATTTGAAACCGGAAAACATATTGTTAGACGAGAGCGGATACGCTAAAATAGTTTAAATATGAATATATTATATATCTCCACCGGGAATATGCGTAAACAGTCAATATGTGTAATATACTTTATAAAATTGTCTAAAATTTATGGGGTACATGTAAACGTGATCTTGGAATATTTCTCCAGCAAAATCAGACATTTTATAAATTTTTTAAAAATTTTGTTATTGCACATTTTTGATGTTGTTAAACGCCTTGATTTTTAAGTCTAGAGATGATCTGGCTCATCGCTAATAGAGAGGTTTGTACATCTATTAACAAAATATAGAGACTTACATAATATTATTTATCGAGCCATTTACTATATTCTAAGAATATGTAAAATACTTACCCTATGAATTTCAGACCATTTTATAATTATACATTTTACATAATATAACCTGATTACGATTGCCCGGTTAAATTTAGATTTACTCTGCTTATCTCATTATAATGCAATTTACTTATCATGCTAAATTTTATTTTGAAAAATTTATATTTATATTTTAATTTTTTTTTAAAACAAATTTCTCTATTTTTAAGTTACTCAAAAGTGCAATATTTTTTACATTATTTGTGGTACAAAAAAATAATCGAAAGAGTGCAAATTAAGAGAGATAAACCTATCTTATAATCGGATATAGTTAATATATAGTAAATCTCGTGTTCCCTTGGAGATTAACTAACTATGACGATATTTTTTACTGAATCAACTCTATATATTTTTCTTTCTCTCTTAAATATAAATCATATATATATAAACATTTTAAAGGGATTTTATCTTTTTCAAATTGATGTCATCATTAATATCTAAAAACTTTTACCAATTCGATAAAAAAAAAATTTACCTAAAAAGTAACCAAATATTTTTTTAGATAATAAAAAGAGAGTTTTGTTAAAAAGATAAAAATTTTATGACCAATATGTGACTTAATATATATATATATTTTATTAGAAATTTAATCGTTAATAAATTTTATCTCTTTTTTTGGTTGTTTGCGCAAATGTCGTGATCGAGTTTATAATCAAATTATTACTTATAGCTATTATAAACTAATAAAACAAATTGAACCAATCCTCGTGTAAAAATAATTTAATTTTATAAGAAAAACACTAAAATTTTGATTTAATTTTTTATTTCTTAACTCTCATTCGATAAATTAGCGCGAATTCGCAGCGAATTATACAAAATATGCTGTATTTTTGAGCATTTTTATATACTTAACCGCGAATTTACGATTACTGTGAATGCAGGATTATACACCTTCTTTTATAAAACAAAAATAATTCAGAATCCTAAAAACATCTTGTTTTTTGGAACTTTTTCTCTTTTTTCCCCATTATTTTTGGATCGAAATTAGATCGTCGACAAAATAATAATCGAATCAATTGGCAGAAAAAAAATTTATTTTTCAAATTTCCCTGATATCGGGTTAAATTTAAAAAAATGAGTAAAATTCGAGATTCGAGCAAATTTATATTTCAGAGACAATATCATCCTTTTTTTTACAAAATAAAAAATTAAGGTTGATTTTGGATTTGCCAAAAAAATTGGGTTCGGGAGGAAAACTTGGACATTTTGCGGGACATCGGAATATGTTGCACCGGAAATAATATTGAACAAGGGACACGATTTTTCTGCCGATTTCTGGTCCTTGGGAATACTCATCTTTGAACTCTTAGTAGGAAGGTAACAGAAGACTAATCTATTTAATTTATTCTATTTTAACTAGATTTATATAATTAATTTATTTGCATTTAAAAAAAAATATGCCAATTTTATTTTTAAAATGGTTATGGATAACATTAAGAATCTGACTATCTGAATATCAGAATAAGTGGGAGGGGGGGGGGATCTAATACGAGATATTTCATATCAACCCTTTTAAGTGTATGTCCAAATTTTTTCGGCACTATCAACTTTCACACTGATCCACAAACTATTTATATATAAAAATAATGAATCACATCCCCCCAAATTGGCTCAAAAAAGGAAAGAGAGGTAATCATAAATACTTTATACATTTATGTATATAATATAATATACCAGGTTTTTTAAGTGACTTATGAAAAAAAAATAGAATAATTATGGTTACGGAAATAACAAATAATTGTCAAAATGGGATTATGAATTTTTTATATAGAAAGAATCATTGTTTTTTTATAATAACATAAGAATTTCCCCTATATTCATGGTTTGATTTCATATTTTATATAAGTTTAAAAAATATCTAATTAATATATCCACATAAATAATTTCTCATATAATATAAGATGTCCTGGAATAATCTATAAAAGCATAAACTTAAAGCAGGAACTTTAAAAGATTTTTTAAAAAAAATTTGATTACAACTTGAAAGATTTATTTTATCATGAAAATTTATAAAAGATTTAACTTATAAAAAAATTTAGAATTTTTAGGTAAAATATGATCAAAAATCTATTCAAAAAAATCTTTGAAGATTTTTTTTTTCGAACTCTGTATTTAAATATAAGTGTTCTAAAGAGAAAAAAGGGGAACCATATTTTGTAACGAACCTCGAAATTTATATTAAAATATTTAAAATATTTTTCTGGCTATTCAGCAATTAGGAGGGAGAGAGAAATCGAATTCCCAAACTAAATCTATATCCTTTATGACTTATTAGGATTTAGAATTTAGATCCATCCGCGAAGTGGCCGACCCGCTTTTAAAGCATATAAGCTACACTCCCCCTTCGAGGCTACGTGGTAGCAATATTAATTTTTGAAAGAAGTTAAGACACCCTTTTTTGTTCGGTATTTTTAAATACTCTATTTTGACATAAGATTTTCCTGTTTTGTAACCTAAATATTATTTGACATGCGTTTTATAATGTGTTCACCTTGATTCGGCCAACTTTACGATAAAATTAGTAAATTATATTTAAATGAATTAGTTAGATGAATAAAAATTTTAAATCTTAGTATTAAATCCTTATTTATTTATTTTTTCAAGACCACCATTTTCCTTCTATGACCCCATGAAAACTTATAACAGTATACTCAAAGGTATCGAAGCCGTAGATTTCCCCAAATCAGTTTCCCGCAACGCTATCAATATTATCAAAAAATTTTGCCGGGAAAATCCTGCAGAAAGATTGGGTTACTTAAAGAAAGGAATAAAGGACATTCAGAAACACAAGTTTTGAAATCATAAATTTATTTTATGTCTATATATTTAATACAAAATCTGCAGATACAAATTTGAATTTATATATATATAATTTTTTTTCATATAAAATATTATCAATTTTAGTTCAGTTTTTAGCCGTTTTAACATATTTTTAGCCAGCTAGAAAAAAATATTTTAAGCTACTATCCAGCTATAACTTACCATCGTCATATAGATATTTTAATAATAAGAAATTGGCGCCTGGAAAATGTTACCATAATCTATTGTCATTGTGTATATAATACTATTTTATCTTAAAACAATTTTTTATCTTAATATTAATGTTAAAAAAAGTTGCGAATTATATTACTATAAATTGCTTCTAGGTGGTATGAAGGATTCGATTGGGAAGGCCTACAAAATCGGACGCTACGACCACCAATCTCGATAAATGTTAATCATTCATTCATTTATTTATTTTTTTTTAAACTATAAATATTTATAACTATCATTTTAAATGATTATACAGCTGCGCTTAAATCTAATAAAATTTAAAAAAATTTATCATGCTCCATTAAAGTTATCACCTTTCCAGATTTCTGAACCCCCGATTATGGGTTCAAGAATTCTTAATTCTCTTTTTGCCGGAAATTCAATAGTAACCGAAGAATCCGACCTCCCTTTCTAAAATACCATTAATTTGAGTGGTTATCTAGAATTTGATCAATGTTCGCAATGTCGAGGCAAATAATTTCAGATTTTTGAACCCCCGAATACTGAATAATCCTGAAAAAATATTACTCTTTTTATAGAGAATGGATTCTTTATATTGGTTGCTTATTTTATTAAATCTTGGCTGATAAGATATTTTACTACCTATTTTTTTAATTAATTAATAATTTATTTTAAAAAAATATAAATTTAGATTAACTCGCTATATGATGTTTCAAATTTCGACGAATTCCCAAACGATGATTTTCAAGAACCAGAAGATGACATAAGTGGTTGGGATATAAATTTTTGAAGAAAAAAATTAAACGAACAACCAATTATAACCAATTGTTAATGTCTCCATTTTTTTTATATTTTCCGCCATTTTAATTCCACCAAAATATGAAATATTTTTCATAATTTTTATTCCACCAAAATCTGTATTTTCCGCCATTTTTATTCCACGCAAATAATTTTTTTTAAAAAAAAAAAATTTTATAAGTTATATTTTTAAAAAAAATATATATATCATATTTTAGAAATTTTTTATATGAAACAGAATTATTATAATATTTATTACTATTCAATATATAAAAAACAATAACTAATAAAAGATAATTTGAATATAAGAAAAACTTTTCCAAATGGGTTGGGATAAGGGGGAGGGGCTTTTAGATCTGAGAATAACTGTTACCTAGTCATTTTAAGTATAATTGTAAAAAGTTATAACTTTGAGTATTTATGATTTTTTTTTAAACTGCGAACCATTGGTTTTTAGTAAAGTCTAAAAAGTATTTGAACGAGGACACCCTATTAGTTCGTTTTTTTTAAAAAAAAGTTATTTTTTTGTAGGTGTCTTAATTGCTCATAATTTTTCTTTTAGATCTAAATGGAGAAAATTGAATAGTAAATAACGTAATTATAGAATAAAGAAGTTTTCTGCTCAGTAATATAAAATATATAGTGTATTTTGTTTATTTTATTATAAAACTGTCTACATTAGCACATTCTGATATCAGAATGGTATAAGTAGATTAGCTACCAATCTCATTTGATTAACTCATAATATATACAAATTAAAAACATTTTATTCTAATAGCTCACCTATAACACTATTAATGTCTTTCTAGTAATCCAAGGTTAGGCATATCTTGCAAGGTGATAATTATTCATGTTTTTTTTAAATGAATTTGATACAAAATTTTATATGGTATCTGTATAATTTTTTAAAATTTATTAGTTAATGCTAGTTAGATTTATTGGAAATATAATTTTGTAAAAAAATTACTATATACCAAATCAGTGTAGCATATAAAGTTAAAAGATATGAAATAAAAATCGAACTTAGCCAAATATTAAATAATGTTGTATATTTCAAGTTTACATAATAAATATTATCGTCTGTTTACTATTTATAATTTTATCGTCTGCTTTATATCTTTTCTCTTTTTTTATATCTTAAGATAGAAGAAATAATTTTCAAGGAACTGTTACAGCTAATCTATGCTCTAGTAACCTATGCTGATTCAGAAGATCTCAAATAAATGAAATATATTTGAATCGAAATTCATTTAATGAGTTATTAAATCAAATTCAAAAAATTTACGAGGATGAATATTTAAATCTTTAATTATATTCTATATAATTGCATCATTTATGCACTATATATGCAATCAAAAAAGATTGGTTATTACTCTCGGCATATTTGCATGTTTTCTCGAATTTAAATTTCTTCTTCTCCGTCTTATGGCGATTTCCAGGTTTACCCAGGTAGGCCAGTTTTCCCTCTTTTCCATTTCTGACGGTCCTGAGCATTAATATTTGTAGCTTCTCATATCCGCCGCTATCACATTTGTCCATGTCATCTTGGGTCTTCCTCAAGGTCTTGATCCTCCTACTTCCATCAAGGTGCATCTCTTTACCCAGTCATCTTTTGCCATACGTTCCACATGCTCAAACCATCTTAGTCTATTTCGTCTCATTACCACTCCAATCATTTCTATACCCAATCTTGCTCGGAATTCTTTGCTAGTTTTTATCTCTCTCAGATATATCACACATCTAATCACCCTCATCTTTTCTAATTTGGCTTCGTGAGTCGCTTTCATTGCCAATGTTTCGCCGCCATAAATTAAACAACTCCTCACACAGCTTACATAAACTTTCCCCTTCAACTTCAGAGAGACTTTTTTATTTGTTAGAATAGACGACATCTCTCTGAACTTCTTCTATACTTGTCTGACCCTTGCAACAACGGCAGAATCTACACCACCATCTGCGTTTAGCATATCACCCAAATAACAAAACTTATCCACTATTTCTACGGTTAACCTATTGCCAATATCCAAACCACCATTTTCTACGTTATCATTATTATGTACCCCTTTCAAGCACGATCTACAAATAAGTCATTCTTGATAACATCAAACTTCCTTTTTCCCCGCTACATCTATTATGTGCCCATTTATGGCATCTCGTGCATTGGATTAAATTTCTAGCAACTCCTTTCCCACATACACCACAAGACCTACCGGATTCCTCCATCATTAGATTTCCACCAATCATCACCTTTGCCTTTGCTATATTCATTTTCAGGCCCTTTTCTTCCATACCATCCTCCATTTACTAATTTTATCCCTCAATTCTTCCTCACTGTTTGCCATTTATACAAGGTCATCTGCTTATAATAGCGCCTAGGGAAGTCCTTAACGTATTTATCTAGCCACCACATCCATTACTAAGGTAAATAATAATGGACTCAGCACGAATCCTTGATGAAATCCTCCCCTTCAAAGCTTTCACTAACACCATAATCCGTCTGTACTGCTGTCTGTGCTCCCACATACATTGCCATCACTGGGATACATTCCTCCACACCTGATTTTCTCAAGGCCCATCTAGTAACCTCATGTGGCACCCTGTCAAATGCTTTCTCTAAGTCAACAAACGCATAAAACTTTTCCTTCGCAAGATACTTCTTCTGTATTTGTCTCACCACAAAAATGGCATCTGTTGTGCCTTTCCCCGAAGCAAAACCAAACTGCATTTCATCAATTTTAGTTTGTTACCTTATGCGCTTCTCTAACACCCTCCCAAATACCTTCATTGCAATTTCCAAGAGTTTGATCGCTCTGTAAGACCCGCAATCTAAAGGATCACTTTTTCCCTTGTATACTGGGATGATTATACTTCTTCGCCAGTTCCGGGAACAGTTCCTTTCGTAAAAATTTGATATGCCAAATTCATTAACCATTCAATCCCTAAGTCATCAGAACCTTTAAACATCTTTGATACAACCATCGTTAAACCCGATGCCTTCCCTTTTTCCATCTTTTTTACTATTCTCTTTATTTCACCCTTGCCAAATTTACACCCTGGACCTTCTACCATTTCACAACTAACATTATTATCCCATTCATTTTCTTCGTTCAAAAGTCCTTCCATGTAGATCTTCCAGGTGTTCTTACACCCTGGACCTTCTACCTTTGCACAACTAACATTATTATTACATTCATTTTCTTCGAAAAGTCCTTCCATGTAGATCCTCCAGGTGTTCTTTATACCATTACTATCAATCACTTTTTCCTTCCATATTTTTCAAACATCACATCTTGCCTTTTGCCATCTGATTTGCCATTCGAACACATTTCCCATTCCTTGAGCGCAATCCATTTCTTTAGCAAACTCCTGCCTTTTTTCTTCTTGCGCCTTCGCTATTAATTTCTTAGCATTTTAGCTATCTTGTAATCGTTATCACTATTATCTTTACTATTATACCATTCTTTGAAGCATCTGCGTTTCTCATCAGAAGTTTTCGCTACCTCCGGGTTCCACCACCAAGTCTCCTTATGTCTAGGCGGTCCTTTTGTCCATCCACATACCTCCTTAGTTGTCATCACCCAGGCTTTCTTCATAGCTTCCTACTTTTCATTTACCCTACATGCTTGTGCCACCTCCGCCTCCTTTATCGCCAATGTCATATTGAATTGTCGTCTTGCACTCTCCTCCTTCAATTTCCAGACCTTCAGTATTTGCACAAACTTTCCTTTATTGATCCTGGCGCCTATAAAAGTAAGATCTCCTATAATTATTCGATGCTAATACATTCCTCTCCCGGTATCACTTTCACATTTTTTTACTATACATCTATCACATCTCCTTAATAACAAATATCCACAGGACTTTTGGTACTACCCGACTTATAAGTCACAAGCTTCAACATTGTATTACTAAGACAATCATAATCCATAGCATCACTAAAATCCTCTCTCTTTCCAGATTCCTCATGCCATAACTGTACCCTCCATGTACTCCTTCATAACTCTCACCACTCGCTCCTACATGTCCATTCAGATCACCAGCCAAAACAATTCCCTCTGAATTTGCCAGTCTCGATGTCACCCCCAATAGGCTGTCCCAAAATATATTTCTTCACTTCTTCCAACCTGAGACATATGCCGAGATAATATTTTATAGCTTTAACTACTTTGTCTACCAATTTCTCTGCAACCAATACCCTAACTCCAGCCTTACCATCATTACTACCTTGCCAAAAGAATTTATACTTTTCACTAGTCATGCCAATCATTCTTGCGCCATTTCCTTTCCATCTGGTCTCCTGTATGCAGCATACATCTATATGCCTTCTATGCAATACATCAACTACTTCTCCAACTCTTCTCGTCATACTCCCAACATTCCATGTCGCGACCCTTACTCGATTCCCCTTAACTGGTTTCTCCACCTATTATCAGGTCATTTATGGCCGTCATAAGTTTCATTTTCATGAATCGTGGTTCCACCAGGTTTCCCATCCTTCTTTTTGTCGTAGGCGGATGAGGAGGCCCACGGGGTACTTTGGGCTGTATCCCACCCATTCTTTGTTGTAACCATAGGGAATGTAGCAGGATTTTTACAATCGGATGCCCTTCCTGACATTAACCCCTTTAAGTGGTTTTAACGCCCCATGAGGAGACGGTGGTCCTATTCTAGACTCAGATCACAGGGAACCTTTTAGACCTCCATTAGCCGCCAAAAAAAGTTGCCACTCCCCCGCCACGATGAGGCTGAAGGTAGGATATGTACAATCATTATTTAGAAAATTAAATAAGTGGCATACTTAAAATTCAATTTCCTCAATGATCTCCTATTTTTTCAATATGATTGCGAGCAATATTTATATTTACATTTATAATGATTATATTATTGAATATATATATAAATATATACAAAAATATATGCAATGTATTTACTAAATCTTAGAACTTATAAAAAATGGCGCTCTAAAAAAATGAGTATAATTATAACGAGTTACTTTTGAAAGAACTTTAACAAAACTAGCGAGTATTAAGGCTGCATAAGAAAATATTAAAGTGAATATAACGAAAATTTTTTATTGGTGCAATTTGATATAAAAATATTTAGACAATTTTATATATAATATTAGTAGCCGAACATTTAAAAAAAACATAAAATTCGAAATAATTTATAATATCTAAAATATGTACGATGATTTATGTAATGAATTACAATTATTTTTTAAATTAAATATTTAAGATAGTGAAAATATGATATGACTTGAATTTACGGACGAGGTATTTTATTTAAAAAAAATATTGATTGTATAATTTATTGTCTATTAAAAAAAAAATTTTTAAAAACATCACAATAATATAAATAATTCTCCAAATTTCGTAAATAGTTAAATCATAAATTAAGGTATTAAAACAAACTAAACTGTTAACATGAAGGTCACCTATGTGTACATAAATAATTAGGTGGACAAGTATTTAATTCATGATAACATTTTAATTTAAAAAATATGATTATATTTGACGCGTTGATGGTTCGCTTATGTGACTCAAAAGAAGAACCCCGTCCTTGTTTTTCTTGTTGGTCGTGGAAAGTTTGTGTTCATGCTTACGGTATAAAAGGTAACTGGCCGTAGCCGCGAGGGCGGCAAGCGCGGTTAAGCCACCCAGTATGTAAAACAGAGCCCGAAAGTCTATAGTAGTGTTAAGTTGAGACATATCATTAGTTGGTAAAGTACGTCGGTCAATTTTAGGATCGGCGGATGTCCTAGAGCTGTTGAGCTTCAGTGATTTTAAATAGTAAATAAAATATTAATTTAGAAAATTCGGCGAGATAAAATAGGAAGATTAATTTATCTAGAATCGATTTTCAAAAACGAAATTACTATCTTTAAAATAAAATATATGTATGGTAATTATATTTTAAACCTCTCTTTTAAAAAAATTAATAAATAATCTTCTATGAAAAATATAATTAAAAAACATAATAAAATTTACTTTTTGAATAATACAAAACCAAGATTCATATTTATATTCAAAAATAAAAACTGCAATTTTTATTCTATGATTTTTCCAACCCTTATTTTCAACTAACAATTAATATAAATCTCACTTCTAATTTGATCGTTAGCAAGCCCCTATCGAATGATTTTGAAGAACGGGCCTTTTTAATTTTTAAAAAAAATATATTTTCGAACAATTTAAAACCTCTGTTAGGCCATCCAGAACTTTGGGGGCTTTAGGAGTAGATGATTTGTCTAATATAAATCCGACAAGTGGGCCTTGCAATATAGTGCCCAAAGTACCAAAACCATTAATTATGCCCACGAGAGCTGAGGCGGAATCTGGTTTGTATGACTTGGCAAGGAATATTGGCAGCGATGAGGACATGGCGTTGTCTAGACCGCCCACAAATAAGCCTTGGATATTTGTGTAAAAAATTTGAGTTAAATTTGGTTAAAAACAAAGATTCGCCGATATAGATACTCAGTATCAGGCCGACACTTTTTGTATCGATCGATCCTCTGAATTTAAACTATACCATCGATACCAAATTATAATTTATTTTTTTCAGATTATCAGGCCCTAGTTAGTAAGTTTCAGTTGGGGGAAATGTATATATTTTTTTATAAGCCATTAGAAACGAATTTAAAGGCCAAGTTTGGGAAGGGGGGCGTCGTGGCTACGGGACTGCCAATTGTTATTTAATAATTTATCTTATTAATTCTTATAAATAATTTTAATTATCACTGGATGGCGCTTTTCTAAATAGTAAAGTAGAAAAGATGAGGAAAAATAGATAGCATGTTGATATTGTTGAAGAAAGTAAAATTAATAACACACATCATTTGACAAAACGTTTATATATTTATTTTAAAAAAGAAAAATATTTTGGAGCAAGCGAGATTATCTAGACCTAAATTATTTAATATTTATTTTGGGTTAAGTAAAGGTGCCAAGCAGTGATGGTATCGGTGCATCTATGATTTTAAAAAAAGGAATTGTTAGTGTGTTATTATACAGTTATATAAGGAGATGAAAGAAAAATAAACATATGGATAGGATAAAAAAAAATTTAAAGCAAAATGAGTAATATAGAAGAAAGAGAGTAAATAATAGAGATGGATAACATCAAAATAAAAAATATGACGAAATTGGGGTTTTAAATGTTATGGTAAAGGAGAAATAATGAAAAGAATGTTTGAAGCACTGATAAAGAGTGAATGGCAGGGGAATAGTAAATTATAGATTAAATGTATACCTAGACAAGAACATAAGAGTACATTATTTGGGAAAAGTTAATTTAGTACAATTACAAGTTTTAATTTTATAATAAAAATGACAAAAATAAAAGCTTAAGTGAATAGCCACACTTAATCCTAGCCTCATATATTATTACATTTTTCAAGCGTGCTATGATTTAGGAACATGACTCACGCCACGCTTAAGAAAAACTTATGTTACTCAAGATATTTAGAACTTGTCTGAGTTATGTCGATTTCAACTTAAATCAAGAGATATATATATTAGATGATTGAAAAAATAAAGTTAAAATACCAACAAACAACAGGAACGTGGCATTAATAAGCCAATTGACTTTCGTGTTGGCTGTGAGTAGGAAAGCGACCATCGTCACAATTTGAAGGTAAGTGAAAGTTACTATGCCGAGTAATTGAGAACGAGAAAAGCATCTTTTTAAAAAATATATATATATTTAAATTATATCAAATTAAGTTGAAAAATCCTAAAACGAAGCCTTTAAAAATTAAGTTACTATGGGTTCTTTTTTTTTAATTTTCCCACTAATTACAACCAAAATTAATTCAAAATATAAAAATCCTAAACAAAAATACCAATCGGGGGCTTAGAGTTTTGACCTCTGCGAGTCTCTGGTACTTCCACATGTTTTAAGGAAAATACAATCATTTCTATATAAGGCCTCGTTAATAGCAAGGGCTTATCGCTCAAGAGACTCGACATAATTTATTACAAATAATAGCTAAAATTTATAATGACTGTGCGATGCGATGAATTGTAGCATATTATGAATTATTCGTCAACAATTAAAAAATTTGAAACTGCAAAATTAGCCTTTAAAAACTCATTAACTATTATTTATATAGGATCTTCAAAACCAAAGATACTTCGATACTCACTGTAACTGTCGTTACGTTTAATTTTAACCGATATCAGCGTCTTTCTTTTAATTTAATTTTTCCCAAATTTCATAAATTAATGAACAAATGATGTGGTAATGGATCTGTTTAAAAAAAATATGTTTTTTTAATATATACCTGTCCAAAAGAAATCCTAACAGAATCGATCCCACGACGCCCCCAATTTCGAAGATGGCTGACACGTTGCCGGCTTTGGTTGAAGAAAATTCATTCTTTAAGAAGATATAAAATTAAAAAATTATTTTTTATTTTCAAATTATAAAAAATTATTTTTTATTTTCAAATTATAAAAAATGGGTCCCTAGAAACTATAACGCTGTATTTTTGTATCCTCCGTCGCAAATTCGCGATAACCGTGAATGTATGGTCAAGCAGATTTTTAGACCGAGCCAGACAATTAGTACAAAGTATTTTTACGGGTTGGACTGGAATTTTACAAATTTTTGCTTATTAAATATATGCTTAGCTACATAAACATTATTATTATAAGCCAGGCGTAAATAATCAATTTGATTCTTTCTTTTAAAAAAAATTTAACCATCTTTTATCTTTATTATACAATATGAAAAACGAGGCTTACTTAAGTTAAGGGTTTATGATAATATCCAGTGGTTATAAAAAATGTTATCGCGCACAGGGCCCAAGCCTAATGATATAGAATTTGTAATATTGTAAATAATTAAAGAATTTGAATATAAAAATGTGATACCGTATATTCCAGAATGAAAGGAAGCCACATGTACAACGTATACCGAATAATCTTGAGGCAAAACATGGATAAAGCTGCCAATCCCACAACTCTAATAAACCAATCCATTTATAAAATATTCAAAAAAAATATTATATTAGTATTAAATAAATATACTTTTTTTAAAAAAAAAAATTATTCGCCATGAGATTAAAAAATCGTCATCGAAAAAAAAGAGCTAATTTATGTTATTAATATTAGTTAGTGTAAGTATAAACATGACCCTTGCGGCTCAAGAAAAGCTTAGCCCCTCATTAAATTTTCATTGATCATACTACACCCCAGCCCCTCTTTTAAAAGGGCATATGGGTACTGGTCTTTACTAGAGAGTTATTTGGTTCACATTTATATAGGACTGTGCCAATATTAAATATCAAATAGGATCGGCACCGATATTTAGCGTTTTCAAAAAATATTGTATATGGCAGATATTTTTTATTGTTTTGGGTTATTTTATGATTGTATACATAATCATGAATTTTTTTTTATTTTATAAATAATTTCATAATAATACATTAATGAAAGGAACTTGTAATGTTTAAAAAAATAGTTAAAAATTTTATACTATTTTTTGTTATATTATCTACAACAAGGAAAGGATTTCAAAATATCAAATGAGTCACATACTCGATTTAGCCAATTTTTAAAAATAAGGTTTAACTCAATTGGCCAAAAGTAATTTAGTTAAGCTTATTGATTTTGCCCAAGGATGGTAGAAAGGTTTGGACTTCTATTGGCTACATTTCGAGGTTTAGATACTTATACATTAGCGAAAATCTTGATTTAGCTCCATTTAAAAATAGGCTAAATGAAGCAGCTGTTTAACAACACTTCATTAACTCATAGCAAATATTTTAAATGTTATTAACTTTTGGAGAATAAAAATAATAAAATACACTTAATCATTTTTGTAAGTAAATTGGTTTTTTTTAAATAGAAAATATTGATATTCTTATGACATTGATACAAAGATAGGTGGTAAATAAAAATCAATATAAATATCGGAACCGGATAGGTTTTTGTGGATGGGCACAGCCCTACATTTATATTTAAACAATACCTAAATACAATCTAACAGCCGTTCCTTAGGGAATGTAAAAAAAAACATGCAAGAATTATTTACGGTAAATCCCACATTAAAACAAAGGAGCATTTAATATGTTGCCAAAAGGATTGCGACATGTTTTTCCCCTTTGTAGAGCTCTTATCTTTATTATATAACATATATAAATATATATTTTAAAAAAATTATGAGTTTCATAATTTATTATATTCAACGTGTGATTTTTTTTTTAAAAAAAATATTATTATGCTTTTTGCTATGAGAGCAAATGATTAGTAAACCATTTGAGATTTGAATTTAGAAGGTTATAGTAAAAAAAAATAGGCTATATAAATTATTAGTCATATTAAAATTCTATATACAGTGAAATTTAGTCATTTATAATTGATTGCAAAAAGAAGTAAACAACTTAAGATTTTATTGTAATTAAATTACAAACATTTGAACCTAGGGAATTCCTATTCCTGCAGATGCAAATAAATATGTAGTTTTTGAATAGGCCGTGTATAAAAAGTAGTATAGTTTCCATCCTAAAACTAAATTAAAAGGCAATCCTAAAATATGTCTTATAGTAGGATTCAAAGTCTACCGGTTTTAGTGGAATGGAAATTGAGTTAGAGCCATATTAGTTAGAACTCTGAGATCCGAATCGAAGCCTGATTAGGCTTAACTTTTTTTTACAAATCGGGTCGGACTTTGGAAATTTTTGGAGCGCTTGCGCTTAAAATAGTAAAAATTGCGGGGGGCATATCTCACCAACCCCATTTCTTTCATTTCATAAAAGTCGAATATTTTGGACTATGGTTTAATTCGGCCTTTGCATTAAAGAACGTGTCCTCGCCCAGGTCTTTTCGATTAGTATCGCGGTGGGTCTAGACCGGACTCTCCTTCGAAAAAAAATTAATGGAGTTAGATAATAAGCCATGTTACATAATACTATGTTGTTTTTTATTTTAAAAAAACTTCTGTTGTCGTTGGTTGCCCTCAAAAGGTCAGCATCGCCTACTTCGCGATTATGAGCGGAATCATCGACATTTTGTTGGTCCGTTTTATTTTTGAGATCAGCTTGGATTTTTTTGTCGTCCCATGTTTTGAGAATTTTTTTAAGAAAGGTCTGGTAATATACGAAAACGACTATCCCAATAAATATCTGGATTTTGTTAGTTGAAAAAAAAATTGTTGTTTGGGGTCAAATTTATTAAATTTTTTTTTGATAAAAACCTTTGTTATATCTGATAATTGGTAGACTATTGATAATTTCTGATTAAAATGGCGGTTTCAGCAAAACAAAAATAAACAAAAATCCCAAAATATATGCGTTTATAGCAATAAGTAGGACGCAAGCTTACAAGGAGTTATATAATACTCAAGGTTAGAGATGCCTATCAGATCAATATTTATGTCATTTGCCTGCAGGAGCAGTCCGAAAGATAAAAGGCTTTTTTCTCCGGCTCGAGTACGGCTGTAAGAGGCTACCCGACCTGAAGCCCGACCTGAGAATTAAATATTATAAATATCTACAATAATCATTTGTTTCGAAATCCATTTCCCAAATTAGCAATTTCCTGTGATTGTGATTTGTATCGTGGCTAGTTAAAACTATTACTTATACGAACAGGGATGTAGTTGAGGGTAGAGAGGGGAGATATTGTTTTAAAAATGTATTGTGCACCCGCAAGAAATTTCGAAAAAAGAGAGAGCATGGCTTGCGCCTTCCAAAAAATAAGAATTTTTTATTTATAAAGTAATTTCAGCATATTAATATTTTTTTTATCACAAAATAAATAAAATATTTTATAAAACAAAATGGCAGTATATTAATGTAATTGTACTTTTTTAATAAAACTAACCCTTCCCTATTATGATTGATTTTTAAAAAATAATACCCCCTCCCCTTGCAAATTAGGCCTATAACAAGTGTTATTAAACGGCTCGTTTTGAGCCGATTTTTAAAAACGGCTAACTCAATATTTCATCCAGAAAAATATTACGCAAGCCTGAAGATTATGCTCCTAGAAGGAACAAAGGTCTGGGCATACATTAACGAAATCTAGAGTATGCAATATTTTTCTGGCTAAAATATTGATTAGCCGTTTTAAAAAATCGGCTCAAAATGAGCCGTTTAACAACACTACCTATAACACTGTATATACATCATATTCTATCAGGTTAAATAAAATATGTTTTATATTCTAAATTTAGCCAAAATAAAATCTAGAATATTAATCTGTTATAATAGTGTATTAAATATTTTCTTTCGATGATTTTTGTTTCATCTAAGATCTATTAAATTTAAATAGCCTCATATTTTTACATAAAATTGTTTATAGAATTGACCCAAATTTTACAATAATTTCTGAAAAGATTCGAACACAAGAATTTGAGACTAATGGAAGAAATTCTTACTTATATTTTATAAACAGAGTGAAAAAAATTGCAACTTGTATAAAAATCACCAACAGGATAGTAATTAAACACTAAATGTATGATAATATAAAATTCTTTTAGACACAAATCAACTAAAACTGCATAAATGTGTTTATGCAAATAATTAGAATTTAAAAAACATGGCATTTTTGGAACTGCACCAAAAAAAAACTTAAAAATACTGAAACATGCATGGCATGATTTATAGATACATGCCAATATTTTATAAAAATTGGCTCTATACAAACATTGATATTAAATGCATCATTCCGCAACACTACCACTATATCACGGAACTTGAAAGAGACTGATGATGATGCAATAAGGATTAAAATATTTCCTACATATGTATGAAACAGGATGTACTGGTAATATTTGAAAATAAAAGGGGATTTGCTTGAAGTCTGATAAACTCGATTCATCAATATTTATATATTGGAACAAAAAAATTGTGCTCTAGTCGGGCTCGAACATATTTTAAACTCGAGTTCGGGAAGGGATCAGGCCGTGAAAAAAATAAGTTTGCAGGACTCTAACCATTTAATCAGTATAGGGCAATACCATTTTAGTATCGGTATTAATTTCAAAAAAAGTGACATCGGAGCTATAGGTCCAAAAATGGCAAAATTTTCAGGCCCGGAGGCATTTGATTTTGCCAAGCCCGCTAAATTTCTGTCGACCAGGCCCAATCCAGTTTTAATTTTTTCCTAAGATTATCAGGCCCGCCCCGGTTTAAAAAATTTTTTTTAATATAAGGCTTTACCCGAAATATATATTGTTGAACACATAAACATCTATTTACGGTTAATTTTTTGCCCGACCCAAATAAAAAAAATTGAGACCTTCTCCGGTCGGGTCCGGCTCATGCGCCGGGCTTTGCATACTAATCCGAGCATCCTATAATAAAGCCAAAAAAACTATTTTATATTGAATTTCTTTTGTAAAAAGCGAAAAAATTATTACAATAAACAGACGATATCGAAAATAAAAAATGTCTTGACGTCAATTACAAAATGGTAGATTTTAAAAAAAAATGATGTAAGCAAAATTATAAAAATCTAGCCACCCCCTTTCCTACCTATTTCCCCTAAGGCTAGCATTTTTCGTATAAATTATTTTTTATAATCGTTTATGCTGGCATTTATCTAAATATTTTTTGTATAAAATTATTTGTCCGATATCTTTTGATTAATATATAAAAATTAATACAAAATTTTGTATATAATTTTTTTTAGGTTGAGCCCAAAAAATTACAAAAGTTTTCAAACTTAGGAAGCACCTAACAGCCTATTATATTTATGGCCAACATTTTCGTACCGTAGAACGAGAACTTCCTGGAAAAAAGATAACTTTTAAATATTAATTTGAAAAAAAACAACTTTGAGGGGCGGGTCATTTATATTAGAACTTAATTTAACACTTCTTGGCAATTAATAATTATTATTTATCGAGTAAAATAGCAGACGAAAAAAAATCAAACGGAATAAAACTGGAAATAAAATGTCTCCACTATAATCGATTATCATCCAACTCATGGAAATCACCGTTAGAACAGCTGATTTATTTAAATTTCTATTCATTTGTAATCACATGACCCGATTTGACAGGCGATTAATGTCTTATTAAATTTTTTAAATCATTTATCCTAACCACATATCTCTTAAACCTTTAATTAACCTTAACCCATATCTCTCTAGCCTTTGATCCTACTCCATACTTCGAATACTTGTTTAATTTTAAATATATCCCATCCAATCAAAAATATTTCCTTCGGTTGAACATTTCTTTGAGTTGAGTTTTTATCGAAATAATCATAGCGGCAAATGTATAACAAATAGGTGAATATTGATGCCGACATAAAATTATCATTTAAATATGGTCTAAGAGTGGTCAACATGTTCAAGTGGGAATTTTTTTCATTATTATCAATAAAATATTATAATAAATATATGTAAAACTTAAAAATTACTATAAGGACGGATGGTATAGGATAGACCCATTTCCATGAGAGACGATCTTTGATATAAACCTAAGTTATATAATAAGTAAAACAATAAATTGAGAGAATTTCCTTCCCCTAGTAATAATTTATGGTAAAAGCTTCTTTTTTTTAAATGGCGTATTCCAATTTTTTTGCATTTATTATATTAGATAACATTAGGTATCATAAATAATTATCTGCCATTTTTATATAAAGGATTGGCTAAGCCCTTTTTAAAAAAAATCCGATTTCGGCTAATCTAATTATTATTTTTCTATTCAAATTAACTAAATTTATTTAATATGTTTATTATAATGGGCGTCTTATTTTGAAAAAATTTACATAAGGGGCTGCATATTATATTATACGAAAAACATGATTTGGAGGTGCTTGTAATTAGGAATATGATAAACGTTATGTAATTATACTGAGAGTAAAGTTCCAAGGGTCCCTCCAGCAAACGGCGACGTACCGAAAAACCCTAAAATCAAATTGTGATGATCCGATTTAGAGAACAACGTCGAAATAATCTTCACTAACACGGGCCAAACGAAAGCCTGAGAATAAATATAATTTACATATACTTTTTATTCTTTCTCTTGTTTCATATTTTCCTCGATTCGATTCATTTATTTCTTATTTCAAAATATCAGAATTATTATCAAATCAATATTTATTATTTACTCATTCTGTGTTTAAAAAAATTTAAACACTTAAAATTTGTATGAATATTTATTAGAATATTTAATAATAATAAGGCAGGCACGTCAAATTCTAAAAGGAGTGAAAGTTTAAAACATCCCCTTATTTATGGTGTTATTGATTTCAGAAAAGTTATTGATTCAATAAGCAGAAGAAAAAAATTGTATCAGCAATAAACTATCTACAATTTTAAGAACCTTATACTATTTGATAAAACTTTTATTTTCTCAAAGTGAAATATAATATCGATACAACATCAGTTAACGCAATAGTGCAGTCAATGGAGAGAATTTTCTAAAAAAAATATCTTCTCATCAATATGTAAGGTTGAAACATATCTTAATGAATTAAGAATCACTTCTAACAAGAGACTGCTATAATGGTAGATTGCATGGTTGGGGATCGTTTTCCCGTGTGTCGAAAATGGCAAATGATATATTGTCCACTCAGGGATCTTCGGCTTCATGTGAGCGGTTATTCTCAGTAGGGACAAATATGATAATGAAGAATAGAATGCCTTTGGAGGAAGAAATGATTACAAAGACTTTCTACTTGGAAAACTGATTATTGTCAAATTCGGATCTGGCATAATTATATTTTTTCTGTATTTATATTTTGATGATCATTGTATATTTTTAGAAAATTTTAATGAGATTTGAATATTAGATCGAAGAAATAATGTATAGCAAAGAATTTAAATATTTTTTATAAGTAATACTAATTCTAAAAATCGAGTGTTTTGGCCAATTTGTTTGGATAACATTATAAAATCATTGGGTTTTATTTCGTATTTTTTCTGTAAATTTTTTTTTGACGAATAGTATGGTATAATGATTTTATTATTTTTATGAATATGAATAATAAATTATTCGATTCGTGTGAATAGCACAATTATTCGATTCGACCGAATACGAATATTAGTATTATTCAATTAGATTCATTTTTTTTGTAGACCTATTTGTGAGAAATTTTTTTTAAAAAATTATGAAGATATTATTATCTCAACAATTTTTAATAGATGTGCCCAATTTTAAATAATGATTGATTATAAAATATTTTCATATTTAAATTATTATTAATGTATTATTTATTATATTATATATTTACGTTTTAAAATAAAATTAAAAAACGTATATTATGAAAAAGGTGATATCAATATCAACATTGCAAAAATGTGATAAGTTTTTGATAGAAATTAAATCTCGTATATAATAACCTTGAATTTTAACACAACTATTTGATTAGGATAATATCAATTTCATAAAATATATAAAAAGTCAATTTTTAGAGAAATTAATTAGACGACTTAATTGATCAAAATAATATTATAAAAAATTTTTCAAACCCACATCAGGCATTCTCCAATATTTAGTATAGACCATTGAGGCCTTAGATTGGCACAGATAGAAATGTCCTGGACAAACGGATAAGACAATAACGAATAAAAAAAACATTTTTACAAAAATTCAAACATTCTTAAAAAGTGTAACATTTATAAAAAAAATTAAAATGGGGTATTTTTGTCCAATGTTATTTTGTCCATGAATATTTGTATCTAGAGTTATTTTGTCCAGGGTAAGTTTACTGCAGGTATTTTTGTTCAGGATATTTATTTCCGTGATTAATATGTATATATAATATATTGTCAATCCAAGGCCTCATGTGGCCTATATTTATTATTTATATAGAAATTTTTATAAGTCATCCTGCTTATTTAAATTATAGTGAAATTCACTACCATTAGCAAATGGTGAGGATAAATATCTCTATTTTTAGCAGGTTATAAGCCAACTCTAAGGCTAAACATCATCTTAGCCTTGATCGAGATTTGAAACTTAAAGGATGCTCAATCTTGAAAGAAATATACACTTTTCCTAAGGCTTGGCGAATTTCGACTGATAGGATTGAGCCGATTTAGCAACACTATGGGCAAGATATAAATTCAATTTTAACAAAATATTTTTAATGCTTAAATAGTAATTTGAAATTTAGGTGGGTTGTTAGTAGGATTATCAATTTAACTTGAAAGAAATTGGGATTTTCTTTGTTGATTGACTAATATTTTTTTAAAAAAATTATTAGGAACATTTTGACAATCATAAAATATTATGTAGGCAGCTACGTGACAAAAAATTCATTGAAAACAATTCTATCCAAAAATATACCACTACCACATAAAAAAATTATTGTACCCACCCATTACACTATAAAAACCCCATGACATAAATTAAAACATACTAAGTTACCATATATATCTTCCAAAAAATTATAATTAAAACTCTTGCAAGCATCATGATTATTTAGGCCAGGAATAACAAATAAAAATTAGTTCATGATAATAAACTATTTTTTACTTTGTATAATTTAAACATTAGCCACAAGCGTGAAGAACTTCAAACTTCATTAGAAAAGTTATCTGTGAATGAAGGAGAAATAAACTATTAATAAATTTTGAAAAATTTTACAGAATATTTTTGTCTTTAATCTACAAAGAGCGATTTTTATTTTGACCTACCCCTTTTAGATGCCCCCCCCACCCACCTCTTCAAACCAATTAGAGGCAAATCACCCTACCCCTTCTCTCATGTACGCTGTATATAGGGAAGGTAAATATTTACAAAAGTTCGACTAGCAAATTAATCTTTTATTAAAAAATATAGCATTTAAAAAAATTTCAAAACTTGGTAGGATTAAAAATAGACTAGTTTATAATTTCTCTATATAGCATCATGCCACCTCAATTTGTAAAAAAAATTAAATTTATTAATAAATATATATGAGGCATGGAAGAGTGTAAGTGAAATAGTTTGTGGTTATAAATGGTAGTTATTTCTAATTAATATTATGGAGATGTTATAGCATAATAGGTGGTAAATATTGTGGCCAAAGGTCACATAAATTTCTTAGGGGGGTGGGGGTAGTTTTTTTTTTTTGGGGGGGGGGGGGCTGTTCAAATAAATTCTTGTCATGCAGAAATTGCCTACATAATATTTTATTATTGCAAACCAACATATTCCTAATAAAAAAATTAAGAATATTAGTCAATTAATTTTTTAAAAAAATAGGAAATTGACAAAAGATACTGAAGACCCAATTAAAAAATACCCCAATTTATTAATTCTTCCCAAGTAAATTGATTTATTATAGCAACCTACCTTGAACATATTGTAATTTAAGCATTTGCAAACCTACTTGTGGGTGATGTACCGCACTCTATACTTTAAATAAAGCCAAGATGGTGGTAACTTATTCTTTGGTGAGGGGGCTAGGGAAATATATGATTATTTTATCATTCATATAATTAGACATTTTTATATCAAAATTATCATTTAAATATAAAAAGGAATAAAAAAATTAATAATAAATTATTTTAAAAATTATAGATTAAATAAAATGAGATCAATCATATCAGCAATAAGGTTTCACTTATCATAAGACTTAGAATATTATAAATTCAATATACAATTGTAAGTTAAAAATAAATTATAAATATACCTGGAATGTGCCATTTAAAAATAACGATAATATCATTATCCATAATTGATCCAAAGGCCCCAAAAAAATAGTTGACAACCCAGCACATATTATACAAATAGCCAAAAATTTAGTAGGATTTTTATTGTCTCCTAAATTTCCAAAGATTATCTAGATATATATATAATAAAAATTTTGAAATTGGTAATATTTATCATATATAAATCAATTTAAATACCTGAAAAAAAGAATAGGGTAGCAAAAAGGATGAATCAAGAATCCCTATGGTCAACTTTGTATATGCATACTTATTAACAAGAAATGATTTAATCTAAAAAATGATAAACTATTTTTACAAATGAATCATTTTTATACTATTCCCAATGGTTTTCTTGTGAAATATAAAAAACAGTAAGATAGCCAAAATAATAAAAATGTTGAGTATAGAGTTTTATTTTTCATTTTCAAAATTTTAAAATGAAAGCATGTGTTACAAAATAATCTCTGTCAGTTGCGTATAAACTTTTATAAGTAGACTGACGTTTTATCTAATAAAGAGGTTCATATTAGTGTTAAACTAGAAACGGCCAGGGTTGGGCAAATTTTCACAAATTGTATTCGGATACAGATACAGATACTTTATAAAATTTTGTATTTAAGATACAAGATACTAGATACTTTGGAAAAATTTCAATAAGATATAAGATACAAGATACTTGTATCTTTTTTTTTAAAGTATCTTGAAGATACTTTTTTGTAAAAACTTTAAATAGTCAAAATCAAAATGTATAAAGCTTTATTTTCTTATCTATAATATAAATTTATAAAAAATTTGAAATAAATTGTAGAAAATAACAAATTTATTATATAAGATAATGCGATATTTTTTTTAATAATTGTATAATTATTATGTTAATATATCAGCATCATAAATCAGCATTGTTTTTTAATATTATTAATTTTTCAAATAATTTATCGTTCAATGTTTTACGATTTGGTTTGTTAACCATATTAGCAAAGCTAAATAATCGTTCAACGGGGGCAGAGGAGGGTAATATTGTGTTATATTTAATAAATATTTCTTTTAATTAATTTTATAAAAATTATATTTTAAGCATATATGTAAAAATTTAAAAAAAATACATATGAAAGGTGGATTAAATATTGCTAAGTACTATCTATCATATAAAAATGGTGCCCCAAAAATTTGGATTATATTTTGGCCTAGTATTCAAATTTACTACTCTTTTTTATCAATATTTGTTTTCTTATTCTTTTCATAGATTTTTTATATATCATTCTAATTTCATCATCAATCAATAATATAAAAATTTATTTTAAAATACTTCTAAATTTAGCATCAGATATATAAGGAATATGAAATGATAATGAATATGATTATAAATGTGATTTATTATATAATTATATATTATACTTTTAGATGCTTGAGAAAATTTGATGACGAGTCTGCAGAACCACTTATAGATTTGTGGCAATCTTTAGATTCTGTAGTAATTTTATTATGATCATGTTAAAGTACTTGAAAAAATTTCCCATTTAAAATACTTAATTTAAATTTATAGTTATATTTTTTGGTTGGAGAATCGTCTGAAGACGAAGATAAACATATTATTCTATTTTCTTTAATAGACGGATATAAAACGATTCAAATAAAATATGGTAGTTCTAATTTTTAGCAAATTGCTATATGACGACCAACGTCGTATATCATACATTACCTTAAAATATCTAACTTCTGATTAAATTTTTCATTTAAATTTTAAAACAATATCATTTTAAATTTTAATACTATTTAAATTAACTTATATAAATTTTTTTTAAAGTATCTGTATCTTTTTGAATACAAAGTTGGTTAAGATACAAATACTTTTAAATAATATGTATCTTAGATACTGGATACAAGATACTTTCCAAAATTTAAAAAAAGATACAAATATCCGCGATACTGCCCAACCCTGGAAACGGCCCGATTAAATTTTTAGCCTAAGTGCCATTCGCCAAATCCACTTATCAGCCGACCCCTTTTTCTGTAATTATTTAGATAGATATAAAATGTGAAAGCCTTATATTTTAGATCGCTAGCACACCTGGTTCTCGAGATTTAGGGGCTCATGTGTACAAAAAAGGGCCACTTTGAAATCTGTAAAAATTTTTAAATGCTTATATATCAAAAACTATTTATAGCAAATAAAATATAATATATCTTATTGTAGGTAAGAAAAATTTCTAAAGGGCTATCAAAAAAATAATTGTCTTTAGCTTCCTGTTCATCCATATAGCTTTACTTATTTTTTCATGCAAAAAATGTGTTTTCACTTTTTTTCCCTAAAACATAGGTCATCCACCATTGTTTGTCATAGATACGTTTTATATATTCATAGGCGTAGCCAGGGTCGGGGTGGATAAGGGGAAATCCCCCCCCCCCTTCATAAATTTATCACTTTTTGTGATTTTAAGCTAATAATAAATATCCCCCTTAATCCTCCCCCTACACCCTGCCCCAAAAATGTATGCATATATCTTAAACAATAATTTGAAAGAAAGAATGAAGGTTGATTAAATTAAAACTATTTATCATAATTTATACATTTTTGGAAAAAAGCATTTATATATAAAAAAAGGAAACAAAAGTGTTTTTAAAGAACTGGAATATAAGCCAAAGATAAGTCTTAAGACAAAAATGAAATATATTATAATTATAATAATAAATCCATAAAATTATTAAATAATATAATATATCAAATAGAATTTTTTATTAAGTGAGTAATTTTAATTTATTTATCTTAATAAAAGTAAAATATAATTGCAAAACTATTGATAAAATTAAATCATAAATTAAATAAAAAATTAAAGCACAATACAAACAGTGAAATATTATATGTCGTATATTAACAGTATATCTAATTTTATCAATTATCATATGACAGTGAAACAATTTATACCAATATAGCAAATTATATATTTTACAGAAAACTATAAAATATTGATAAGGACATAAAGACATTTAGGATGAATAATATAAAGATTAATTTTTAATATCATTTTTTATTTAAAATAAATAAATAGATAGCGTTAAATAATTGGATGTAAATTGTTGCTATATTTATTATCAAGAGCATTGATTAGTAAAATTTGTTAAATTTTAACTGTAATATATTCTATTTTACTTGTAAATTCTATATGATAGAGCAATATCAACTATATGTCTACTTACTTTTTATAAATAAATTTCTTATACTTGTTTGGAATAAATTATTACCATGCTTTTATAATAATATATATACAAGTAATTTATTATATTATATATAAACTAATAAAAATATATTTCATATTTGTACCAGGCTTATTTTTTTATTAAAAATAACCTATCTTGTACAAATATTTTATGACTATATATAGACTAAGGTAACCCGACCGAAGGGTCTAGGGGCTTCGCTTCCAGACATTTTTTTATTTTACCCCCCTTAGGTAAATCCTGGCCACGCATATGTATATATCCATATTTTTTCATATAATAAATTCGCATTAATATTCAAGTGAAATATTATATTTAATATTTGCGATTCTATCTTGTACAAATATTTTATGACTATATATAGACTAAGGTAACCCGACCGAAGGGTCTAGGGGCTTCGCTTCCAGATATTTTTTTACCCCCCCCCCCCCATTAGGTAAATCCTGGTCACACCTATGTATATAACCATATTTTTTCATATAATAATTCGCATTAATACTCAAGTGAAATATTACATTCAATATTTGCGATTCTGATCTATTTGAATAAAATTTTGTTTCAATTTTAACCTGAGAAATTGGATGAATAGTATGACATTTTTGCGTTCCTAGCATTGTACGAGGTTTATTGAATCTCTCTTCTATAATTATTTGCTCTTATAATATATGAGAAATCTATTCCTTAATAAATATAAATTATGGATCATCCAGGATAAAATCTTTCTTAGATTCTTGCGATAATAAGCATGTCTTTATAGATTAAATGGATTGCAACATTTCGTTATTTTAACATTTCGTTATTTTAACATTTGTACATCCATCTGATTTCCAGATAGGTTAAATTATTTAAACTTTATCTGAATGAGAAATAGAGATCGTTTTAAACAGTTTATGTAAAATAATATGCTCGTAAAATACAATCGATAATATGCCTAATGCAATATTCTTTTTTAACGCAGCTGTTATACACTATCGAGCTAATGAGACATTAGCTATAGTAGCTAAGCAAAGGTCTACAAAATGTAAAACATTTTTTAAGGATGATTATGAGTGGGGGGGGGGGGGAACTAAAATTTATCATATTTCTTATATATTTTCATTAACCTTAAGAATTATATTTTTCAAACATTAGCGCCATATATTTTTTTCAATTTTCGATAAAAATCTATATTTCGGAAGCAACGTTGCCATGTCTCCCCCCATCAGAGGGAGACTCCCGCAATTTTTTAGTTTACACGCAGACCTCTCTCTCCCGCAAAACTACGGCAATTGGAAATGTCCAGCAAATATCTACTGCTATTTTTTGATGTCTCCCGCAATTTTTTTCAATAGTATTTGGAGATTATGCGTGGAAAGAACACTAAGAATGGAAAGAGAAAAACGAGCACGTACTGTACTAGTCAGAACGATGGCCGGATTATACATATGTAGGCCAGAGGCGTTAGAGGGAATTAAATAGGCTAAACTAAAAGATCGCAAATTGAGGCAAATAAAATGTGCATAATAGGAGGAAAAGCATGGCAAGATGGAGATAAAACTTTCAAATATATAGGAAAAAAGTTAAAAATTGGACATCATCTATAGTAAGAGAAGGTCGGAGTGAGGTATCATTAAGGTTAAGGGATTTTGGGATGACATGAAACCGGATATCAAGGAGAGGTAAGAATGAAAGAACGGATGTGCAAATATTGGTGACTAGTAATGAATAAAGAGATAGAGAATGTCAGCAGAACCCGTATAGGATGCAATTCATTAACTCCGGTGCCATAAAAAGATAATGTTTGATCGAAAACAACCTAGACTTGGGAACGCATACTATATGCACGCTGTTTATTATTCAAAGTGGGGGGAATATAAAGAGGTAAGAGGCTTAACGGCTCAGGTGGTATAAAAAACATTGAAGGAGCCTGAATAAATAAATCGAACGGGGTTCAAGCCTTTATCAGTAGACATTTCATGATTTTTATGCTTGATACTGTAGCAAAGCACATTTTATCATAGTATCACCCGAATTCAAATTGTCAGGCGGAGTGATGTAGAAGTGATCAAGAATTGATTAAGGAAATCAAAGGATAGTTGTGGAGAAATTTAGCTGGTAGTAACATTCAGCGTCTACATGACAGTATATTTACTGGATGCAAACCCCTTCAAAAATATATATCTACCCCCCTATATACCAAAAAATTATCTATAA